GGGTCCTCAGTGGAGGGGGGGGGGCAGACTAGAGAGAGTGGGATGGCTCTGGAGATACTTAGAAAGTAGCATCTTCCTGAAAGGCTGCAGGAGGAGGAGGGAGGAGCGGGATGGCACAGGTGTGTGTGGTCCGGGTGCTGGGTGAGTAGAAATGCCATCTACCAAAATGGGAAGGTCAGGGAGGATCCCTGGTTTCAGGCGGTAATGGCAGGTTCAGGTTTAATATGGTGGGAGAGGTGGGGGTGCTCATTTTAAAGGTGAGGAAAAGGAGACCCAGAGACAGCAAGTAGTTTCCCCAGGGTGAGCCAGATAATAAGCAAAGGTGGGCCAGGGCTGCCCACTGGCCTACATCACCTTGTCAGAGCTCCAGAGCCTGGGACACCTTGGAACGTCCCCAGTGGGCTCTCAATATCCCTGTTCTCATTGTTGTGAAGGCCCACCTACTCTCCAGCCTTAAGTTCCAAAAGGAGGTCAGAAAAATATACGGAGGTCCCAGACACTTCACTGAGCTATATGCAACCGCCCCCCCTCCCCGAGGCAGGGGAGTCTCCACTTGTGAGTGTTGGGGGTGATCCCCCTTCCTCCTCCCCACTGGTTTGAGTTTGAAAGCAGAGACACTGCATAATAACATTGTGGGTCTATGGTTCAACGAGAGACATAAAGGGGCCACTGGATCTTCTAGGTCCAGTGGAGAGCTCAGCAGTGCTAATGCGACTAGCATGTCTTCTGTTAGTTTGGGGTGGCAGGGCCACTCGGGCCTATACAGCTCTAGGGTACTCTGTGGGAAAAAGCTCAGAGAATCCAGAAGCAGTGCAAAGTCCAACTAGACTGAAGAGAGGGACGTGGAGGTGGTGTTGAGCTTTGTCATCAGGACTCTTCCGGATCCAAGGGACAGAAGACCCAACACAAACTGCTATGGCACAGATAGGAATTTATCGACTCATGGAAAAGAAATCCCAGGAGTAGCACTAGCTTTAGGTCTGGCTTAATTGAGGGGCTCCAACAACATCTCAGGGTTCCTCTCCATTTCCTGGTCCTGCTCTCTGCCATGGTGGCTCCATTGTCAGGCAGGCTCTTATGGTTCTGGCAAGATGGCCACCAGCAGATGCAGGCTTACTTCTTCATGGTTCCAGCATCAGCAAAAAAAAAAAAAAGAAAGAAAAGAAAAAAATAAATGGCTTTCTGTTGAGAGTCCCAGCCAGAGTTGGGCTCTCATTGGCTTATTGGCTCTCATTGGCTCTCTCGTTGGTGAGAGACCATCTCTCAGTGGCTCTCATTGGTGATGTGCCCATCCCAATATCTGATGCCAGGCGGAGGTCCTGCTGTCATTGGCTAAGCAGATTTTTGTGGCCAGCCTTGGGGCTGAGGGTGGAGTTGAGACAGCTCAAACATCATGAACTGGGAGTCAGGAGATGTGAGTTTCCCAAGAGGAAAGTTTGGATACTATTAGTATAAAAGGAATAGATTGTAAAAATAGAGGTCCATTCTAGGGACCTTGGGGGAAGACATTTCATGTCTGAACTTCTGCTTCCTCACGCAGGTGTAAGCTCCAGGGTGGAAATGGGTCTGTTCAAGAGCAGTAACCCAAACTGCTCTCCCAGGATCCAGCCTCTTGTGCAGTGACCCCTTGGTATGTCTTAGCAATCCTAGGTGGTGTCCCCAACAGAGTCACCTGTAGGTCCATCAATGCCAGGTGCCATTGTTATACCAGACAACACATTCTCACCACAACTGAGGCTACGGTATTTCTGAAGTGCCTGAGCTATGTGCTGGGCTCCTGGTGAACCTTCTCGGTTATAATTTATGGTTTTGACTACGGGGAGCGCCATGTGTCACAGAAAGAGCTTTTGTCATTGTCTCCCGGCAATGGCTCTTTTAGATGTCATCCGCGGCTTCCCTTTGCTCACGAGGGCTCAGACCCTGTCCATGGAGCCACATGGGGACACAGACACTATACTGCCCACTCCACCTCCATTTCTGTCCCTTGGAGGCCACACAGATTTATCAGATGAGCCCAGGGAAGGCTCAGTTGGGATGCCCACCCTTCAAGAAACAAAACTAAACTAAAAACCTCCGCAAAACTGGACCAAACACACCTATATCGATTATCACTCAGAGTTGTGAGAATCAAGTCTGTTTTTAGGGTAGAATTTCTGAGCTATATATGTCACAGGTGGAAAGACCTGATTATTTGGACTTCAGAGCATTGTGAGTTTTTTTGGCGGGGGGTGAGGGGGGTTTCACCTAGAAATTTTCTCTGATGTCTTCAACCCTGGTCACTTATGAAAACTAGTCAGGTGGCTATGGCCCTGAAACACAGGCAATAGAAAACCAACAGACAAATTGGACCTCGTCATGACCAAAAGCTTTTGTCATCAAGAGAGTGAAGAGACAGCTTATACAATAGAAGGAAATATTTGCAAATTATATATCTGATAAGGAATTAAAATCCAGAATAATCAAAGAAATTCAACAGCTCAACCACAACAAATACTCATAGAACCTGATTTTTAAAAATGGGCAAAGAGCTTGAATAAACAGTTCTCCAGAGAAGACAGGTCAATGGTCAATGATCACATGAAAAGACACTTAATATTTTTAGTACCAAAGAAACTCAAATTAAAACTACCCTAGCTATCACATCATACCCGTTAGAATGGTGATTATCAAAAAAGTAGAAAGTAAGCGTTGGCAAGGAGACACGGATAAATTGGAACCCTTATGCATCCTTGGTGGGAATACAAAATGGCACCGCTGGTGAGGAGAACAGCTTGGTGGTTCCTCACAGTGGTAAACAAAAGGACCGTATGACTCAGCCGTTCTCCTTCTAGACGTCTATTTGCCCTAAGAATTGAAAATAGAGGCTCAAACAGAATCTTTTGCACACTCTTGCTCACAGTGGCATTATTCACAGTAGCTAAAATGGGGGAAGTGACCCAAGTGTCCACCAATTGGTGAATGGATGGAAAATTTTATCCCTACGATGGAATATTACTCTGCCATAGAAAGGAAGTTCTAGTATGTGCTTCAACACAGATGAACCTTGAGAGCACTGCTCTGAGGGAGATAAGCCAGTCACAAAAAGACAAATATTATGTGATTCCACTTATGTAATGCGTCTAGGGTCGTCACACAAGGAGGCAGGAAGTACAATGGCGGTGGCAAGGGGCTGGGGTGGGGACATGGGGTGTTGGTGTTTAATGGGGACAGAGTTTCAGTTTGGGAAGGTGAGAAAGTTCTGGAGATGGTTGGACAACAGTGTGGATGCACTCAATGCCGCTGAACTGTAGACTTAAAAATGGTTAAAATGGAAAATTTTGTGTTACATCTATTTTACCACGGGAAAAAAAAAAAAAAGAACAGAATCACTCAAGAGTTTATAAAAATACCAACACCCAGGCTCCTTCAGACCAATTCCGTTCAGAATCTCTGGCTCAGGCCTAGGTGTCAGTGTTTCTAGAAAGTTCCTCAGGGGATTGTCATGCCAGGATTGAGACCCGCTAGGCCAGATCTTCAAAGCAACAAGCAGAGTGAATGATTGAGACGGTGGTTGAGATGAGGGGAGACATTTACCTCCTGCCCTTTTGACCTCCGACCTCTGTCCCCAAGGAGGCTTAGTGCCACAGCCCTTTCTTCCAGTCCTGTCGGAGTACAGCGCACCAGGTACTCCAGGGCAAAAGAGACCTTTAGCAGCAGTGCAAAACATGTGTCAAAGAATCACCCAATACAAACCAAGTTAAATAAACTTGTTATTTTAATGTTTAGCAAGACAAGAGCAAGCGGTGTGTGTGTGTTTCTATGTGTGTGTGCACGCCACCCCCATTTACCGAGTGATGAGTGGGGAGGATTATATTATATATTTACAGATGCTTTGGGGTTAAAAAAAAAAAAAAGTTCCATCGCCTGAGGCCAGGTAATGGACCCTGGACAGCATCAGATGTTCCTGAAGACATCTCTGTCCTGTGTCACTGACAAGTGTGTGCTGAGCACCGACTCTGGACCCGTTACGCTGGATGCAGTCTAAGAACACAGCAAGACCCTAGATCTCTAGGAGCTAACGGACCTGGCTGGTAAAGGCAGGGACATTGAGAACAAGGAGAAATTAGAAGGACACGTACTTCAATGTTTTAACTAGGGATAACCTGGGCACCGAAATAAAATTTTGCTTGGTCACTTGCCTAATGCTTCTGCTTCGGTTTCTCCTTTGGGAAAACAGAGCTGGGACTTGGGGCGGGGAGAGGGCCAAAACACGCAATCACCAAGAGAAATCATATTTTGGCGCAATCGTCGAAATAATAGAAATTCACGCCCAGAAGTCCATGATGGGTGAGATAACAACATTTTCAATAAAGTCAGGATCAGACTCTGCCTTTGCCTGAGCTCACCTCGCTGGTCTTACCCTCACCCTGGCCTTGTTCTAATAAAAAGTTATCTTTAGAAATGGCCCATCTGCGGTAGCTTGTGGATTTTAGTGTTTAAAATGTCGTGTTAAAAATATTACCTATCTCGACAATGGGTTGTTGTTATTTTTTTTTTTTTCCCGGTGCTGTTTTAAATCTGGTACCCAAACCGAGTTCCTCACTTGCCTCACCCTAGTGCCTGCCCTGGAGTGGCGTGTCCTTGACCATGGAGTTTCCAGGTGAAATTCCCCACATAGGACTTAATTCAAATTACAGATAATGCATACCCCATGGGAAATACTTCTACAATAAGATTATTCTTGTATCGGCAATACCAATGTAATTGAGCATTGTGTATTTTAACTGCTAAACCTGGCAACCAGACTTGTGAGTCCCCTACCTTCCCCTCCCTCTGATTTAAGGCAGGATCTAGTCCCATGGCAACGGACCTGCCCACCTCCACATGCATTTTGCACACTCTAAAAGCGACACTCCCAGGCATTAACGCGTGTTTCCCTGGAATGTTCTTTCTGTGGTTTTCCCTCGCTCCCGGCTGTGCTGTCTCAGTCACTGAACCTGACCCTAATCCCCCAGGCCCTGCTCAGCCTCCATAGCACCGTCCACGCTGGGTCTGAAGCATGAGACACCTGGGCATGACCTTCCTGACAAAATGGGCATGGTGCGTGGGGGAGACTGATGACTGTGCACTGTCCCCTATCACCAGGGAGCAGAGCCAGGGCGGTGGGCCTCCAGCCTAGATCTCACTCTCTTCGAGAATCTCCTCCATGGTGTGGGTCAGGGTGAAGTCCCCCTCGCTGCTCTCGGATACGCTGCTGCCCCTTGGCCAGGCTGGGTGTCCCCTCGGGGCCCGGGCGCCCCGCCCTCCGAGGCCATGCACGGACAGGTGCAGGAGCTGCCCATCACCGCCCGATGAGGTCTGCAGCTTCTGGAGCGTCCCTGTGCCGTCCGCCTGGGACAGCTTCTTGGGACATTTCCCCAGGAATCGGAAGTTCTTCTCCAGGACCCAGGCCCTGCAGCCTGAGTGGCGGGCGAGCAGGAAGCGGACCCAGTGCTTCCGCAGCTCTGCCTTCACCTGCGGAGGGAGAAGAGGGCAGGTTACTGTGCTGCGGGCGGCAAGGGACACCTGCCTAGTGGACAGGTCGCCCCCCCGCCGGAAGACAGGGGTGGCAGCAGTGAGCAGGAGGGAAGAGGGTTTTGCTGTCCAGAAGTTAACATTCTGGTGGGTGAAAGGGGGTTGGAAATATCACCCACTCCTAAAGCCAGGTGGAAGCCACGTGCCTTCTCCCTTTCAAGCCTCTTTCCAGGAGAGCAGAGAACTGGTCATAATAATAATCATAATAACAGAAGTCACCATAGTTAGCAGGTCCTGGGCCCTCACCAGGAGCCCTGCAAGCCCAAGGCCACACTATACGGCAGGGACAGCCATTATTCCCATTTTACAGATAAGGAAACTGAGCCCCAAAGAGCTACAGTGGGTGAGGAACGGCCGGAGTCCAGATTTTTGGACTCCAAAGTTCAAGCAGGTCTGTCTGGGACACTTAATGCTCTCAGGCTGGGTTCTGAGACCCTTTGACGCATCCCGACACCTTCTCTGGGCCATCTGGGCTGCTTCCTGCTCTCCCTACTGGGGGGTCACAGTGCCTATTTGCCCCAGTCACTACACGCCCCCCCCCAATCACATAACCAGAAACCTCCGGGAGCAGCAGGATGCTAGCCCCAGTCTCACCAGGACCTGGAGGGTGGCTCCGGAGACGTACCTCTCCATTGGCAAAGCAATACTGCAAGGCCACGAGTAATCCCTGCAAGGAAAGGAGGAGGTGGTGTGACTCAGGAGGAGACTTGTCTGGGAGTGGCCTGCAAGGTGCAAAGGCCCGCCCCATCCTAGCAGCCCTGGGGAACAGGCAGGCAATGACATTGCTAGCACGAACTAGAGTTGGTCACACTGGTTACGTTAACTTGGACTTCACTGGGATCTCTTCTGACTTTGATCCCCACCAAGCACCAAGCGAGGTGCTTGCTCAGATGTTTATCAGTTAATGATCATTAAATCCCTAAGACCCTATATTCGTCATCCAATTATCCAATACTGTACAAGACACTGTCCCGTTTCTACTGGTCCATCTAGCTGGCTAAATTTTTGCTTGAATTGCATCCTTTCCTTTTGGGAGCTGATCCTGCCCTACTCCCTGGGCTTCTAGCAGGGCTGTCAGTCATGGTCCCCATGTCCTAGGATGGCCATCACCAGCACAATCAGCCCAAATGGGCATGGGACCCAAGCAGGGCCAATTTGAGTTCACATTGCGGACAAAACACTGGCTAGAGCATCCATGTTCTGAAGGCTTGACTTGCCTCCAAGATGGCTCCCATGCCTGCCACCTTGGTGCTGGTTGGTGGTGGGAGGCCTCAGTCTCCCCCACAGGGCTGTATGAGTGTCCGGGGACATGGGAGCTGGCTTCTCCCAGAGCAGGTGATCCAAGGAAGCTAGGTGTAAGCTAGAACCAAAAGCCTCACACCTTCATGTCCACAATACCTCAACAGTCACGCAGGTCAGCCCTAGTCCGTGTCGGCTGGGACTCTACAAGGCCATGAGTACCAGGTGGCGAAGTAGCACAATTCATTGCTTACTGAGGTCCCTTCGTGCTGTCTTCTGGACAATTCTTCCTTTACATCTTTGCCTAACTGATTTCTCAAAATCCAAGTCTTAGCTCAAATATCACCTCAAAGAGAGGTCTTTCCCAACCACTCAATTTTTGGAAGCCCCTCCAGTCACCGTGAGCTGTGAGCTCTCTGATTATATTCTCTGTGGCCCCACAATTATATTGTTATTATTGGTCAACTTGGGTTCTTAGAGGTCCCTCCCCGCCCCCGCCCCACCAAGCCTGGCATCTTTATCCATTTCCATTCTCAAAACACCTGTGTTGGGGAAGGTGAAGTAGGGGGATACTCTTCTTGGTGTGGGAAAGATTTTTCTGGATGCACTGTCAACTGCCAGGAGTCTGGAATCAAAGCTGCTCTAGCCAATGTTTGTCTTCCAGTGTTTCCTGACTCCTCTGCTTCCTGATGTGATACGCAGCTGTGCTAACCCACGTGCCATGACATCCCCCATGACGTGAACAACTGTGGCCCCTGGGCTGTGTGTCTAAGGTACTGGGGCTCCATATGTGTGCAGGACCCAAGCCCTTGAGTGTCTGTGGGAGGAACCTCGTGAAATGCCAGGACTCACAAAGAAAGGACACATTTCCAACTGAAGAGTGAAGGTCACAGGGCAGGCGGACTCCCCCATCTCTCTTGATCACGTTTCTCTCACCCCCTGTGGCCAGTAAGGGAGGTTTGGTACTGGGAAAGGAGCTGAAATTGTAAAGGAGTTCCATGTTGTCCTGGGGGGAAATTCTTATGCTCTAACGGAAGCTTGAGATCTTGCAAGCTGGCTATCCTGGCCTCAGTCCCATGTTTGAATTCTGCCCACCAGCACAGGGTTTTCTTTCTCTTATGCATCCTTTATTCCATGGTGAAAGCTCCTGATCAGGGGCAGGGTGGTGCGGGTTTACCACTGTCACACAGACAGTCTCACTGGAGGTTTCCAGCCTCTATGGACCATCAGAAGTGTGGGTTCTCTTTGCCTCTGGGCAAAGGAGTAGAGAGTGGAAGGAGTAGCTCTCATGTGTCAGGATCCCCACGAATGAGTTGGCTAAAAGAGGATTCCACATCACAAACGTGTTTTTTTTTTACTCCTTTAGGTTCTTGGTTCACTGTTTTAGGAGGCTCCTGGAGTCTGGGTAATGCTGATTCTAGATAAAGGGAGTGTGAAGGGAGTGGTCCCACAGAACAGGTGGCTCTCACTCCCTGTGTCACCACCTCCTTGGCAGTCTTCTCCAAAGATCCCTTGACAGTGAAATTCTCTAAGCACTTGGAAGAGTGAAGGAGCCTCCGAGCAGCAAGGAGAGGCAGCCTGGGGTCCGTGCCAATTCCTGCTGATGCACTGAGATATGACTCACCGGATATGCTCCCACGCTTCTGCCCATGCATGCTTGGCTTGGTGGCATGAAGGGGAGGAGGGCAGGGGTGCTGAGAAGGTAGGAGGCTTCTGTCCATGCATAGGCTCTGTCGGTGTGTTTCCTGGCTCAGTCTGCAGAGCAAACCCTGGGTCCTCACGTTCTTCTGTGGTGCATGGTGGTGGGCGGAGCTCTAGCTGCAGGACTGAAGGATCCAGCATGGCAGGCAGCGGTTGGGGGGGGGGGCAGTCTCCAGAAATAACCCCCGGGATCTCTCCCCTCCCTGTAGGCATATGCTAACCTCACATGAAGCAGTGGACCTTGTTTTCCCTCCCCATGAATCTGGGATGACCTTTTGACTCCTTCTACCAGGACATGGTGGAAGCGACATTCTGGGACTTCCTAGCCTGTGCCATAAGAGGGTTGGAAGCTTCTATCTTTTCCCTCTTAGAACGCTGGTCTGGGGAGGCTCTGAGGTTCTGGCTGCCAGGCTGTGAGATACCCAAGGTAGAAGGAGAGGCCACGTGGAGGAGAACCAAGATTCTGTGATTGAGCACCTCAGCTGAGCGCCAGCCAACAGCTTAGGTCAATGTCCAGCCATGGGAATGAGTCATTTGGGATGTTCCCAAAGATGGGATGTTCCCAAAGATGTTCTCATTTGAGCTTTCAGATGTTTGCAACCCCATTCAAGAATTGCAGGTATCAAAAGTATTGCTCCGCTGAGTCCGGGTGGTCCAGCTTATAGACTCATTAAAGATAACACGGTTCCTGCTTTAAGGCATGATGCTTTGGGATAGTTTGTCACATAGCGATCAGTGGGAGGACGGAAATAAGCTCTCTTGCCAGGGGAGTCTGATAGGCTGATTATTTTTTCTTTTTTTTTTTAAGACTTTATTTATTTGAGAGAGAGAGATTGAGAGAGAGAGAGAGAGAGAGAGAGCATGAGCACAAGCAGGGGGATCAGAAGAGGGAGAGGGAGAAGCAGGCTCCCAGCTGAGCAGGGAGCCAGACACGGGACTTGATCCCAGGACCCCTGGGATCATGACCTGAGCTGAAGGCAGACGCTTCACCGACTGAGCCAGCCAGAGCTTTCATTTCCATTATTGTACTTTGCAACTCCAGAATTTTTCCAGATTGGTTCTTATTTTATAATTTCTCTCTCTGTACTGAGATTTCCTAATCAATGAAACTTTATCATACTTTAATTCCTTAAACATGGTTGCTTTCATCCTTTGAACATATTTTTTTAAGATTTTATTTATTTATTTGACAGACAGAGATCACAAGGAGGCAGAGAGGCAGGCAGAGAAAGAGGGGGAAGCAGGCTCCCTGCTGAGCAGAGAGCCCTATGTGGGGCTCGATCCCAGGACCCTGAGATCATGACCTGAGCTGAAGGCAGAGGCTTAACCCACTGAACCACCCAGGTTTCCCTGAACATATATTTTTTAAGAATTTTATTTTTAAGTAATCTCTACACCCACCAGGGGGCCCGACTTCACAGCCTTGAGATGAGAGTCACACGCTCCACCAGCTGAGCCCGCAGAGCCCTCCTGAACATATTTATAATAGCTTCTTTGAAATTCTTTGTCTGCTAAGAGACCTCTCAGGGATTTTCAATTGACTGCTTTTCTTTTTCCTAATGATAGGTCACACTTTTCTGTTTCCCTGCATATCTCATAAATTTCTCTTTTCTTGTTCAAAACCAGACGTTTTACAATCTGATCTCCTACTCCCCAGTCCCTGGGTGGTTGCTGGTGTTTGTTTAGTAATTTGCCTGGGCCACTAGCTCTGTGAAATTTTTCTCCCCTGTAGTGCACAGTCACTGTTGTCTGTGCTCATTTCAAGAATTTTTGGTTTTGTGTTTAAGTCTGAATTCCCGCCCCTGTTTACAATAGCTTAACGATTAGTCAATGATGGGTCAGAAGTTGTACTCAACCACCTTAAACCAGTAAGGCTTCCAGACTCTTTGACAATGGATCTGTGCATGGTTTCAGGGACCCATTCCAAGTTCAAACAGTTTATAAGTCTTCTGTGGCTTTTACTTTCCACCTCCTGCGTTTCCCGGGTGTGTGTGTGTGCAGGAACTTGTGTTCAGCCAGCGATGCGTGGCTATTCCTCTCGTCCTTCCTGAGTGTGTAAGCAACCTTGCACATATACACAAGCCTCCAGCCCACCAGAGAGGTATGTGAGAGATGATCACGGCCCATGACAGGTGTCTCATTCCTCAAATCCCACTTGTTAAACTTCTGACTAGCTTGCCGGGCTGTATCTCCCCATCCCCCACCCCGCCAGGATCACCATCTCAGGCTGTGACATTTTCATTCCTCGATTCTTTGCCAATGAGATCACTACTGTGTCTGACAATGGCCGGGGTGTGGGCTTTTTCTGCTCTCTGATGGATCTACATCAAGTCAGCCCCTTTCGGCAGTGAAGCTGCTAGTTTTTACTAGAACTTCCTCACTGATGGAGAAGAGGTTGGGACAAGGGCATTCCAGGCTACACCAACAGACCCCACTGTTCTTACTCAGATTTAATCATGTTTCTTGAATAAATAAATAAGTTCTTCACAACCTTTTGTATGCCTTTGTCTGGTTTCCAGGGCCCTCAAGTCATTGCTGTTGACAATTCTGGGCGATTTTATTGCTGCTTTTCGGGGAGGGGATTGGCCAAGTGTCTCTCTCCTCCATTCCATAAGTCCTGCCCTATTCTAGCATTTTAAGATCATTAGCCCCAAAGTTACCACCGTATGGGGCCTCTGTAGCTGACACTGTTTGCAGTGGTCTCTTGCATTCATGGCCTTTGCTACTGAGCCATGTATTTTTTTCCCTTGTGTGTTCTCTCCTTCTGTCCAGGCTGGGTCTGGGATTTCCTTTAATTTGGGGGAGGGGGTGGAAAGAGGGAGAGAGAATCTCAAGCAGGCTCTACACGCAGCATGGGGCCTGATACGGGGCTCGATGTCACAACTCTGAGATCATGACCTGAGCTGAAATCAAGAGTCAGATGCTTAACTGACTGAGCCCGGCAGGCACCCCTGGGATTTGCTTTAAAGTTTTAGAATGCAGCAGAAGTATCACTGTGTGACTTTCAGGCCTAGGCATTTAGAAGGCCTGGAAGCTCCTGCTTTCTTGGGAACTCTGAACTGCCATGTAAGAAGTTGAGCTCCCCTGTAGGACAGAGGAGGACCCTGCAGTGAGGGAGAGGCCCTAAGATAGTATGGAGCTGAAGGATGTAGCTGGCAGTGAGAAATGAAGCCCCAGAAATCTGACCCAAATCATTCCACTCCAGCCAGCCCCAGCCATGTAAGCCTTCTCAGCTCAGGCATCAGACGTAAGAGTAGTGACGCACCTTGGAAATTTTGGCTCCAGCAGGCATCGCGTGGAGCAGAGGTGAGCCATTCTTACTATGCCCACCTGAATTTCTGGTCCCCAGAATAAGGAGGAATAATATAAATTACTGTCATATAAGCTACTAGGTAATGGATAACTATTTAAGGAATGGATAACCAAAACACCCAGGTCCAGGAACCACAGCTGGCCTCCTGGTTCTAGTTTCAGCTCCCTTCCACACATCTTGACACAACTGTCAAGCTTCAAGAGGCTCCTGGTCTCCACGCGCTAGATCCTCCCAAGTTGTATTGTGTTCCAAATATGTCACCTGAAGCATAGACAATGTTCACTGTGCACAAAGCCCTGCAGAGAACCCAGCAAAAATAGGCACAAAATAAAAGGCTTCTTGTTGACATTCACCATTAATATGATTGTGAGTCACACCAACTATTACAGCCCAGGAAACAGACCACTTTTCCCTTCATAGTCACTGAGTCATGCTGGCAGGATCAAGGCAACACTTTCGGTCTACACACCCTTCTCATGCCGAAGACCGTAATGCCATAGAGCCTGCCACCACAACAGCTTTTTTCCCCATCTGTGGGCTTTCTCAATTCTCAGCCTGTTTGGGTCAAGGGCACTTGGGTTTCTCCAAAGCAAAGGGATCCTGGTTCAGATGCCTACTTACATGGAAGGAGCTCAGAGTCAGCTGAATGAAGAGTCGTATAAGTTTTGAAAATCCTTCCACTTGGTCATCAGTGACGAAAGAGAAGAGAATCTCATGAACACCCAGCAGAGGAATGAGGACCAGTGTTGACTTTGCCAATCTGCAAACAACAACCAAAAAATTGTCACCAGGGCCACGTTGGGAATAGGTGATGTTTCCTGCTCTTCTGCGCATGACTTTCTTGTAGCTCTTACCATCCTGATACATGGCTGACCTTCCAGTTTGTCTCCTTGGTGACATAGTGAATGCCTCAATGGCCAGTGTGGTCTTGTTTGCTGACGTACCCTTATACCGGACTCTTGGGAGATGCTCAGAAAACATGAATTGAATGAATGAATGAGTAAATAATGAATGGATGGGTGAATTCTCCTATATAGATTATGAGATGCCTCTAGATCTTAGTGTTTTGACTGATGGATAGATTTCCATGTGCCTGAACGACACCCTAGGACACCACACCCTCCTGGGTTTGACAGATTTTCTATTATCCGGCTGGCAGGTTTTTTCTCTTTTCAGGACTTCCAATATCAGTGCTTTACTGAACCTGGGAAGGGTAAGCAAATGATGTGTCTGGGGTCACATAACCACTAAGGGGCAAATCCACTGGAAGTGAGTCTTGTGACTTCACACTCACACCCTGCACACTCCATGCCGAGCTCGACTGTCAGTCCCCATGCTGCCCCTCAGCCCCAAAATGGCAAGGGCTGCAGGAAATGAGAAACTGATCTTCCTCATAAAGGGTGTTGTGTGGAAGCTTGCTGTTGTATACACTCTACATAAAAAAGACAAACATTCCTTTGTACCACCCACATGCAAAGTGCGCAACTGGAGCACAAACATTCCATATCGCATACCGGTGGTTCCAAACATGGTTTACCATTTGGTTTCCTTAAGGAATTTAAAAAGATGGGTAGATGATAGATAGATGAATAGAGAGATAGAGAGATTGAAAGACGGAGAGATGGATGGATGGATAGATAGATGGAGAGATGGATGGATGGATGGATGGATGGATGGATGGAGAGACAGATGGAGAGATGGATGGATGGATAGATAGATGATAGATGGATAGATGGATGGATGGCTAGATAGACAGATGGAGAGATGGATGGATGGATGGAGAGATAGATGGAGAGATGGATGGATGGATAGATAGATGATAGATGGATATATGGATGGATGGCTAGATAGACAGATGGAAAGATATATGGATGGTTGGATAGATGATAAATGGATGGATAGCTAGATAGATGGAGAGACATGGAGAGATGGATGGATGGATAGATGGAGAGATGGACAGATGGATGGGTGGATGGACGATAGATGATGGATGGATGGATTGATGGATGGTTAGGTAGATGGAGAGACAGTTGGTGAGATGGATGGATGGGTGGATGATAGATAGATAGATAACAGATAATAAAAGATAGTAAATAGATATAGCTAGCTTGCTCCCTTGGCCCCAGTGTCAACCTCCTGAGTCAAAACTTCGGGCTACTGGGTCCTGGGAATGTGAATTTTTAAGGAGTTCCCCATGGGATTCTGATAGGCAGCCACATTTGGGAATGACTGCTGTTTCACTATTGAGCTGCTTCTTAATTTAAAACTACCTGCATTAGCAAAAGTGACTCATACCCAGGGTACAAACAAAGCTACTGTCTTGTATATACGCGCTGGGGGAAAAAAAGTTTAATCCCTAATGACTTTTTAGCTTGAATCACTGTCTTAAAGGGCCAGATTTGGAGAAGTCTTCCCCTGCGCCTACCACCCGCCCTCCCCCCCGCCATCACCACTGAACCCCTGGAATTAAAGAGATAGGAACGTCAGCAGCTCATGGGCACCACCTTCAGGAAGGTTTAACTGTGTGCAAGAGAAAGTGTTTAGTACGGATCCTACATTCGTGAGAGCCATTCAAGTGTAAGGTCCTCAAAGAAACGAAAAACCTCACCTTGTGTTCCTGGCTTGGCCTCTGCAAGTGCCTGAGTTTGCAACCCTTGCTCTGGGTTATCTGGGTTTCAACGACACATCCTTCCATACTTAGATACAGATGCACATCTTACCATCAATTAATTCTTGGGACCATGCTATGACATTATGTGTTTGAATAAGCTCTTTATTTGGGGATAATTTTGGATCTGCAGAAAAGTAGCAAGCAGAGTATGGAGAGTTCCCACATAGGCTTTCCTCTGTTTCCCTAATGTTAAATCTTGCATAACCATGGTACGCTTGTCAAGACAAAGAAGCCAAATTGGCACGTGACGAATAATTATACTCAATTCCACTTGGATTTCACCAATTTTCCCACTTAATGTCCTTTTCATGTGCCAGAATCCCACATTTAGTGTGAGATGATTTTTTTTTAAAGAGTGACCATCTTTTGATGAGGCTTTGGGCCGTTTTCATAACCGCCAGCTCTCCAGATGGATGTGAAGGGATTCCCCATTCCTGATCTCATTCTAACTTCTCCTTAGACATAACACTATGCGTGTCCTTGTTCAGATGGAAAATCCATAAATATCTATGGCGTTTACTCATATGAACTGTATTTATGCTTATTTTTCATCTATAGTCATCTGTTTAAATTGTTTGGTTTATGGCAGTCATTCAGCAATCCAACAAATATTTATGGAGCATGAGACAGTGCAGTGGGAGACAAGGGGCTGCAGTCAAAGGCAGTAGAGCGTAGCGACAATATCCGGGCCTGGGTTCAAATCCTGACATGACCACTTACTTGCCATGGGGCTTTGGGCAAATTATTTAACCTCTCATCTGTAAAAATGAGGATTATACTACTAATGCTATAACATGAAGTGCTGAAACAATTAAAAATTATCAATGATAATACAATGGACAGTGTCATTGGAAAGATTACATCATAGGTGGCAAGTGCTGAGAATAATGGTTTCTGATGCCTGATGAATGATGGATAGTAGTTAGTCATCCCTGTTCTTAAAAAGAAGTCATCTTTGCCTTTAGGTTGCTTACAACCTCAGTGACTTTGATCGATTTTCCTTCCCTTTGTGACCTCTTTCGTTTTTGGTTGCCCACCAGAAAGTCTTTTCAGATGAGATCGGGTGCGTTCAGGGTGGTATGGCCGTAGACCAGAAAGTCTTTTCAGAAAGGGCTCTGGGGTTCAGCGAGCTAAGAAATTATTCTCCTTTATAAATTCATCTAGAGCTCTGTCCAATGCACCGCATGGGATGTTAAGACTGGTTCTGGAGGCGGACAGCCGCCTGGATTCTGGGAGCCCCAAAGAACAGACAACTCTTGCCACACTGAGCATCATTGGTTCCTGCGTGTCCTCGTTCCAGGGGCCTGGCGTGGCTCTCCCACTCTGGGCCAGGCAGGTGGAATGGTGAAAACCCAGAGACAGGCCTAGGACTATAGGAGGTTCTCCAGACCCCTAGAGACTAGATATATTTGGCAAGACCTAGATATATTTAATTTAAACTTTTCTAAAATATACTCGCGGGAGAGGGTGCCAAATCTTGAGAGCTACATTCTTCAAGTCCTCAAAATCAGGGAGAGGGGGAGGCAAGGCCTGTTTCTACCAGAGTTTGGACAAAATGCACCAGCACCCATCACCCCTTCCTCCTCACCCTAGCAGGGGGTGACAAAGGAAAACAGAACTGGAGGGGGACCAGGAGGTAGAAGAGGGCAGTGTGAGCTGGTGGGCTGGTTGGGGGGAGGTGGGCAGGTGACCCACTGGGGTGACGGAATGTAGAAATGTGAGTATTAGCACTGCTTGCAGAGAAAAATAGGCAAATGCACTCATTGATGCTGTAGGATTTGCCAGCCTGGGCAGAAAAATAAGGTGGCCTGGTGTGTCCTTAGAGACAGGGCCCCATTTTTTTCTAATTAATGAGCATAAGCTAATCCATTGTACTATACTCTGGAGAAAGGGTAAGTCAACAGAAAACAGATGCCAACCAAAATCGGGGGGATCACAAAGAAGCAGCCCCGGGGAGACCCTGGGGAATGAACCCTGATTTCACCAGGCAGGTGGCATTATAGATAGGGAAGTGGTGTTTCTCATGGTCAATGATCTTTCATACCAACCTCTCTGCATTGAGGATGTGATCGCCAGCAACATTCTGATGACTGCTTTGAGTTTCTGAATTCTTTGTTGCCAAGTGTGCTAAGAGTGCAGGCACTGGAAGGAAACCTCACCAGACCCCAGACTTTCACAGCCTCGAAGAATGAACAATTGTACAATCTGGTTTATACATCAGTCTCTTGTGAGTTTAGCTGACATTAGTCAGCCCTCCAAAGTCTCAGCCACTTGGGAACACTGATAAGTTTATACATCAGTTTCTTGTGAGTTTAGCTGACATTAGTCAGCCCTCCAAAGTCTCAGCCACTTGGGAACACTGATAAGTCCGCAGGTGATGGCAAACTGGCCAAAATGAGGTGTTTTACCCAGGGAGGCCTCAAGGTGGGCCATGCACCCAGGTTCCTCTTTTCAAGCTTTATCCTTGAACAAGGGTGTAGGAAGGGAAAAAGAACCTTTCCCGATAGGTTTTATATATCAGACAAGTTATTCCTTCTCCCCCCAAAACAGCTGTCCTGAATCATTGCTCAGCCGTGAAAGTCCCCCCCAGTATCTTGATTTAGGCTTCCCTAGATCACAGCCCCCAATGAGGTATGCACACTTTGGGGCTACGCAAAACAATCCATTTGGCATTAGAAGAAAACACAATAAAGAAAGATAATTAAAGTTCCATGTATTGATTTTTTATCTATCCTCTATAATTTTCTATTTTTTATTGTATTTTATAATGTCTATCTCAGTTCAACAGATCATGTATATATACGATGAGGGGCGTGCTCAGAATTTCTTTACTGAGAAAGATGCGTGATCAGGAAAGTTTGGAAACCACCATCTTGGGTAACTCCAAAGGAGATCCTGCAGGAGGGGATACTGGGGCTGCTTAGAAACACAGCTGCCATGGCCCAAGTGGAAAATGCCATTTATTTCACTAGAGCATGTGACTCAGCCAGTGGTCCCGCACTCTGTGTATCAGAATCTCTTGGGGGAAGTCTATAAGAAGTCCATGTGGCAGGCTCCATTCCACACTTACTGAGTCTGAATACCCAGTGGAGGGCCTCGGGAGTCCAAGCTTTCGGCTGACTGTTGGGTGATCCTTACAAGCAGCTGGAATGGAAAGCTACTAGAGGGGTGCTGTGGGTCTGGAGCATGGGGAAAGCCCCAGTGGTACGTGGTGGCCTTGGGGTGGGGGCAGGGCAGAAAATAGCAGGGTGCAGGCTCTCAGTCTGCATGGAAAGTGGTGTCTAAGGATTTGTGGGCTCCCTGTTTGTGTCTCTGGGAGTGCCGCCCTCTGTTTGGTTTCCCAGATGCCCCAGCGTCTCCTGAGTGGACCCACCATGGGAGGACTAGAGCAGTTCTGACCATGGGTTTGGACTCCCACCCTAAGAGAGCAGTTAGAAGTTGAGCCTTGGGAGAAGGGCCAAAGAAGCTTTGAGCCACTTAGAGTCTCCACAAGAGGCGCCAAGAAAGTCGGCGTGGCTCTGTATTGTCCAAGCCAGCCCAAGTGCCTTGGGGACAAGGGTGTTTGTAAAAATATTTGGGCCAATTATAGCATATATTTGCCAGTGCTGGACCATGCGTGTTTATCCTTTGGGACCTCCTGGAAGAAGGGTTTTAGGTAGATAGGATTTGGGGTCTGGATCCACTCACTACATACGATTACACTGAGAACCACATCGATGAACTTCTTTGGTCTTCATAACAAGCATGAGATGGTCTCCTGTGCCATTCCCATTTTACACACCCAGAAATCAGGCCTAGGGAGGTCCAGTGACTTGCCCAAGGTCACTCAGAGGATCTGAGGCCGTGACCAGCATCAGCCCTCTTGACATGCATTCACACCAAAAAAATACTAGTTTGGGGGAGTTGGGATGTGTGCTCCTTACAGACAGAGTCTGCATAATATCTTTCATTCCAAGCATAGTACCAGGCACATGGTAGGTGTTCATTGTAAGTTTGTTAGATAAAGGGAAAAACTACCTTTCCAGCACACCTGGGTCAGGCCCGATTTCAGTGAGAGAGCAACAGAGCGCCACCCATCCTCCCTTACACCTCTGCCTGTGACCTGCCAGGTGGGCTAAAATCCTTATGCTTAGAACCACTCTTTTGGGTCAATTAAGTGGCTCAACCACTCATTCTTAAGGGCATTTTAAGTTTCCTGCTACGGGGAATGTGTGTACTCTTGACCGACCACTCCCTTCACTTCCATGGGGCCAGAAGGTCTGTGCCAGTGGCCAAAGCCCCACACGACCCCAAGACACCTTTTTCAGAGGTTCCCTTCTTGATGCTCTTGTCTTAGGAGACAGACATATGGATGTAGCTCATGCCCTCCTTCCCAGACCATTAACCAGCACAGCTGAAGGGGTCAAAACCATCTTGGACCATCAGATGCTGACCTCAGGGCACTCACCTGTACTTATAATCTCTGAAGCACATTTGATGGGCTTTGAGCTTAGAAATGAGAAGCTTGACGATTTTCAGGAAGATGAAGAAATTGACCTTAGAAAAAAGCAGATATGGGTAAATAAATGATGGGCTCCACTCCATCAACCATAAATGATGGTTATGAATATCAAGGTCACTCTGAGCCTGACCATTGGATCCTTGTCCCTGTAAACCAGGGGAGATGTGGCAGTTGGCCATTCAGGAAGTATGTGCTCATGGTCATCCCTAATCTTCCTAAGGCTAACTCAATACATCCACACTTTATTTTTATTTAATACTCCCCATTAATGCTCTGAAGAAGCCACACTATTTTTATGTCATGATACAATGAGAAAACAGAGACATGGAAGAGACAAGTACAGTTCCCAAGGCTGCACAGCTAGTAGGTGACTGAACTGGTACTAAAAATACAGCTTTACCAGAAAAGAACCTGTTCTTCACTTAAACAGCCTCCCTTCTGTAAATAACTCCAGCCCTATGGGTGTCTAACTTGAGTCCTGTAGCTGCCATGGAATTTATTGGAAAGCACAAGTTCTCTTCTCCCTAGACTACATTCCACAGTCATGGAATGGGCTGTCACGGCCTGGGACAGTTCCATCTTTTGTTGTCGGCCTTGATAGAAATGTTTAAATAGATCTGCAAATTCTTCAACACTATCCCCTTCGAAAGGCAGAGCCTAACTTCCCCCCTTCCCTCTGGGATGTGAGCTAGGCCTAGCTATGCACATCTAATGAAAAGAATATGGTGGAAATGAGGTTATGTGACTTCTGAGGTTAGGGCCTCAAAAGGATGGCATCCACCTGGTTCTCTCTCTCTCTCTCTCTGGGGAAAGCCAGCGGCCATGTTGTGAGGACATTCAAGCAGCTGGAAAGACCTACCAGGGGGACATGAGTTCTCCTGCCAACAACCAGCACCACTTGTCAGCCACGTGTATGGGCCACCTGGGAAGCTGGTTCTCCAGCCCCGGTCAAGCTACTGGATGGCCACAGCCCTGGCCAACACCTTGACAATGACCACAGGAAATATCATGAGGCTCTTCGAGAGGTAGAATGGCAAGTGGTTGAGTGCAGCTAGGGCTTGGAGAATGAGAACAAGATCTGTGAAGAGTGAGACTGGATTGGGGGAGGGGGTGGGGAGAACCAGCTCCTGCAGAGTCTTTCATGATCGCACAGACGAGTTTATGTTTCCTTCTGAAAGCAATGGAGAGCCAGTGATGACTCGCAGGCAGGGCAGTTACCAGATCGGATTTGCATTTCTGCACTTCAGAAAGCTCATTTTAACAGCCATGGGGCGTATGGATTGGATGAAGGCAAAACCAGAGTAGGGGAGACTGGTTTGGGAGCAGTTCATAGTTCCCAGGGAAGAAGGATGGAGAGGTGAGGAGAAGCCACAGCTGTGGGGCATCGGTGATGGGGAGTACAAGATGCACTTGAAACTTACAAGGAGTTTGAGTCAAATGGCCTTTGTTAGTGGTGGGATGTGAGGTCGAAGATGACCCAAAGCTTCTCAGTAGATCTAAAATGTGCAATAGTGTCATTCGCTGGGGGTGGATGGAGGAGGGAGAGCTGTGCAGGGGGAGGAGGGAGAAATCTAGTTATTTTGGACACAAAAGATGTCCCAAGGCAGTGAGATAATTATGTCTGGATCTCAGCAGAGGGATCCCAGATGGAGCACAGAGCCAGCATTGGAGGAGGCGAGGTTGTCCAGAAAGGGTAGGTAGACAGGGAGAAAAGAAAGGTTAGGAACTCACCCTCTAATGAAGGGAAACGTGGTGGAAGTGGAGGCAGTGAAAGAGGTTCAGAAAGAGTAGCCAGGACAACTGGAGCAAACCACAAGGGAGTGGTATCCAGGGAGCTCCCGGCTGTAGGAATTCAAGAAGGTAAATGCTACACGGAATTTAAGCAAACTAAGACTGCATTTAGCAACAAGGAGCTGAGAAAAGGTGCAGTTCGCAGGTGGGAGCACAAGCCAGATTGCAATGCTTTGTTTTGTGAGCCAGACGTGAAGAGGGAGACAGCCAGTGTAGACCACATTGAAGTCTGGCTGTCCCCAGACACTCCCCCCAGGAGATAGAATGGTCAGAGCCTCCTTGTGTCCTTCCCAGATCCCATACAGACTTCTGCTATGGTCCCAGCAATGTTTCATTACACGTATCTGTCCAAGAAGTGGAATGATAAAACAGTAATTGACAAGGGCTACAGAATGGGGATAGTGTCTCCCCTCTTTTATGTGCAGGGGTGGAAGATGTTTGGGGTTACAGTTGTTTTTAAAACAGAAATGACTGGGGTGCCTGGGTGGCTCAGTGGGTTAAGCCTCTGCCTTCAGCTCAGGTCATGATCTCAGGGTCCTGAGATTGAGCCCCGCATCAGGCTCTCTGCTCAATAGGGAGCCTGCTTCTGCCTCTCTCTGCCTGGCTCTCTGCCTACTTGGTGATCTTTCTCTGTCAAATAAATAAATAAATCTAAAAAAAAATTTAAAAAATTAAAAAAGATAAAATGGAAATGACTTAAGAATGTCTTTGTGCAATGAGGAAATAGCCAGTAGAGATGGTGACTGGGTAACAATTCATGGAGTAAAGTCTCTACAAACATTGAGCCAGCACGATACGAATGTCCCCGCCTGGGAAAAAAACCCTTGAACCACAGATTGGAACACAAGCTGCAGAATCCAATGTGGACCTCCTGTGACTTGCCTTATTGGCCCCAGGAGAATCAGGGCTCGAAATTAACCATCTGCACTTTCGGGCAAGAGACCATTTATCCCATCCACCAGCCAACAGGAATGATGGAGCGTCCCAGCCAAAGACTATTTAGTAACAGAACACTTAAATACAAACTAAACGCAACCAAGTAATTTATTTCTTTAATGGGATATCTGCTTTTCATCACAAAGAGAAAACGCTGTGTCCTTGGCTTAGTGATTTGTTGAACTCAGGCATTTTGCTCACAAAATAAGTATAACCGGGGAAAGGAACATATTTCGGCAAATTAATTTCAATCGGGACTGTATCCTAGGAAATGGAGAGCTGTGATGAGGAGCATGTGGTTTTGTTGTTCTTTGGGTCTCCCAGGGACCGGACATGAAAAAATGGTCATCAACCAATGGGCCAATTGGCGGAGGCCCTTCTTCAATGCCATGGAATGAAACACCGGCCTGGGTGAACCGGTGTTCACCTACGCATCTCACAAGACAGGAGTCAGCAGGCATATCTGGCTGGAGCTGTTCTCCATTCGTGCCCAAACAGGAAAAAGGGGCTGAATGAGGAAAATCTTCAAGAACCCAGCCAGCTCCTCTTAGATTCCATTATCAGAATGGGGGGGGGTGCTTAGGACCCCAAATATATAAGCCTCCCTTTCATGTCCTAGGTGTTGCAGAATGCATGATCCTATATAATGTTCTTGGCGACACTTCTGTGGTACCCCAGCTCCCGTGTTTAGATCTGGGTCTACAGGCTGGCAGAGGTGATTGCTAACATGGTAGAGGGCTCAGAAGTTGGCTTCATCTATCTCTAAACTTCACCTACTCCCATCCCCTCCTCATCTGGCCTGCTGTGTGGACTAAAATGCCTACCATTAGAGCTGCTTCTAGAACGCGTCAGGGTGAACACAAGGGTTCCTGCTGCGCCGAGCCTGAACTCCATCCCAGTGAGGGCCTGCTGGTTTCCCTCCTGCCTGATTAGCGGGAACCTTCCAGGGCTGGGAAGTGTGGGTCACAGGTATTCATGCTGAGCTGCCATCTGCTTGGGCATGCTGCCAGGATGAACAGAATCTGGGGCTTACTGTGGCCACAGACAGCTTTTGGACAGATACGTGTAATGAAGCATTGCTGGGACGATAGCAGAAGTCTTTATGGGATCTGGGAAGGACCCAAGGAGGCTGTGACCATTCTACCTCCTGGGGGGAGTGTGTGGGGACAGCAGCCGGGGGAGTAAGACAGCCGAGGGAGGGGGTGCCAATCTCAGCAGTGTCCGAGGAGAGGTACTCATGGGTGACAGGTCTGCATCACGCATGTGGGAAGGAGGCAATAAAGATCGGGGGGTCAGGAGCACTGGGCTGTGGTTACAAGGGCTGGTGCCCCCAATCAGACCCTTTGGGCTGAGATGCAGCACCCCCACTTACTGGGACTTGAGGCTAAGTCTCTTTCCATCTTCTTGGTGTCCTTGTGAGTCAAGGAAACATAATAATGGCACCTACCCACAAATGGGGTAAGACACGTCAGGGACTTAGATGGTGCTGGCATGTAGAAGATGCTCAACACAGGTCACAGGCGGTGGCAGGGGTGCCCGCCAGCGGAGGGTACTGGGATCACAGCAGGCAGAGGACTGGATCATGAAGCAGTGACATGGGGGAGGGGCAGGGCAGAGCTCAGGACTCGGCTCTCCCTTGGGGTGGGTGAGGCCAGACTTCACTGGGTGCGGAGTGATGGCAGGGGACATACCCAGTGACACTCGTGTCACCGCTCAGCCTAGATGTGACACCAGCCTCAGAAACATCAAGGGCACCTTCACACTCGCAGTGTCCCCCTCAATTTCCAAGGATGCTTTTCCCTCTTAGTCCTGAGCCCTTTTGGCACGTTTCATCTCCCAGTATCGTCTAAAAGAGCTTTGTGACTCTCGATCAAGCAGTCCATCCCCAGCTATAAAATTCTGGGGCCACGGGGACCTGGGGCCCAGCTCCATCCCCATCTGGGTCTCGGAAGAGCAGTATCTCTTGACGAACCCCCATCCCAGCTTTGGGTAATATCGACCCTGTTTTTCTAATCTAACGAGGTTCCCTTACTAATGCTACTGGGGTCAACATCCAAGCCAGTAACTTTGCTATCCCTGGGCTTGTGGGTAACCAAAGGCACTCACGTCCCCAGGGCCACCATTAAGGGGCTCTGAGCCGGTCACAGATGTCTATACACAGTCTGAGGACCCGGAGAGAAGGAGGCATGTAGTTGAACCCTGCATTTGAGTCCCAAACCAGAACAAGGAGAAGCCTCTAACTTGTTCCTTCTCATTCAGCACATCCTACTCAGAACCCGGAGACTCCTTTTCAAGGGAACTGGCCCAAAGCTCATTCCGAGCCAGAGAATCTGGGTGGGTGGTAAGGGAAGGGGAGAGGGTCCCCCACAGCTGCCAAGCCCAGCGAGGAAAAGGCAGGAGCGGGATGGTCCTTACCATTACACAAAGCAGCATGGGTCCTCTGATGATCCACCAGATTTTCTTACTCTTGTTGGTTCCCCAGCACCTGCGGCAAAGGGGCAGGAAAAGACTCAAGGCAGAGACAAGGTTGAATGAACAGCCTGGTGCCTTCTGGAAGAAGAAGGCTTCCCGCTTGCCACCCCATTGTGAACAGTGACACAAGAACCAATGTTGTCCCCATATCTTTACAGGCTGAGGGTCACTGCTAACCTCTGCGAGGACCTTTTTGTGTTAATTTGAGCTAATCTGATGCTAATTTGCCGTGTAACTAAAGCTAAAGCTAAAACTCCTGACTACGAAAAAGATCTTTGATTATTTTACCTACATTTCTAAGTATATTCTAGATGGCCAAAACGGGAAGGGAGCAGATATTCTCTTTGGGAAAACGGTATAAATCCTTGTATGGGGCATTTCTGGAAATTACTGGCCCATGGAAGTGTAAGAGCAGGTGAATTTCCTACCCTGTGTTCTCCAGCTGTGCACGGGCCATACTCCAGGGTACCACAAACAGCACTGGGAAGGCTGGGAGAAAAAAAAAAAAAAATGGAAATGTAGTTAGGGGCAGGTTGGCCAAACCTGCCTGCCTCCCACCGCAGCCTGATGGGCCGCAAGCATCTGGTAAAACTTATAAGAGCCCAAATATCATTGAATTGCAGGCTGAGAGCTGGAGAGACCTGGGGGACACAGAGCCCATCTGTTGTTTCACTCTGAGACCAACCAGGAAGCAGAGAGGAGAAAACACTTGCCACATGTTGCAAAGCAGCTCAGAGTAAATCCAAGACATTAAGTCAAATCTCCCCAATTGTAGGTCATCCGTATTTCTTCTGAATCCTGCAGCCTCACATTCTCCAAGAGTCAGTGGCCACAGGGGTTCCAGACCCCGTCTTGAAGGCTCCGCTGGCATTACAGACGGAATGTTGTGTTCCCCCATCCCCCACCCCATGTTGAAGCCCTAACCCCCAATGTGATGATAATTGGGGGTTGGATCTTTGGAGGTAACTAGGTTTGGAGGGGGAGGTAGTGGTCTTCATGATGGGATTAGTGCCCGTAGAGGAACAGACCAGAGAGCCTGCTTCCTCTCTCTCTCTCTCTCTATCTCTCTTCCATATGAGGCTACAGGCAGAAGGCAGCTATCTGCAGCCAGGAAGACCCCTCACCAGAACTCTGATCTCAAACTTTCAAGCCTCCATAACTGCAAGAAGTAAATGTCTGTTGGTTAAGCCATGCGGTCTATGGGATTTTGCTACAGCAACCTAAGCAGACTGCTACAGCTGGGGACAGAGCAGGAGGAAGGGCAATGGAGTCTATCAAAAACCTTGTCGATTTTTTAACGTATGCATTGGGTTCACATTGCTTGTGTGTAACTGCACATGTGCACACACGCCCCTTACTTCAGTATCTTGCCACTGGAGAGTTCTCTGTCCTAGATGCTCCCCTAATTGGGAAACCAAAGGCTCTCTCAGGCTCCTATGTTCCGATGGGCCCCTAGGAGAGGAGGCTGGGGGTTCAGGTCACTCACCCCAACCCACCAGCATGTATCTGGGCCACAGCCGCCTCTCTGAGAGCACTGTGGGCTCCAGCAGTGTGTGGAGGTAAAGGCCTTCGACCAGCAACCATGAGTAATTGGCGCCCACGAAGTAATGCAGCAGGACCTGGGCTGAGCGGCAGGAGGCAGAGATCTGCAGAGGACAGAGCATCCGAGGGTGAGGCCAGGTGTTCTAGTGTGGACCCAAGAGGACGGAGAAGGGCCTCCCCATGCACAGCCGTCCCCCTACCCCGCCTCGGCCCCAGAATCGGCTGAACATCTCAGAGAGGCTGCGGACAATATCAAAATAGGAGGGAGGGCTTTCTGTAGGTTTCCAAGCCCAGCCTCTTCCCTGAAATTTTATACATTTGCAGACAAACAGAAACAGGGAGAACACATCAGCAGCAGTTTCCCTAAAGGAAACACTGAAAGGTACGCTCTTTGATCTTAGTTCAACTCAGCTAGAAACCAACCAAAAAAATCATATGATTGGAAAGGAGGAAATAAATTTCTAAATAACCCATGAATCAAACAAAGAAATAATGATAAAAATTAGAACTTATTTCTGAACCAAATGAAAAGAAAGTATCGCATATCAAAATGTGTGGTGTGTAGCTAATAACACATCCAGAGCAAAACATATAACCCTAAATGACTTAATTAAAAAAGGAAAAAGGCCGATAATCAATTGTCCTATTGTGTCAGAGAAAGAGAGCAAACCTTACCTAAAGAAAGGATATGGCAGGAAAGCATAAAGATAAAAGCAGAAATTAATGAAAGAGATAACATAAAATAAAGAGAATCAAAAATGCCAAAATTTCATTCTAGGGAAAGTCTAGTAAAGCCATAAAACATCTGGCAAGGATGATCAAAAAGGGAGAAAAGAGAGTGAAAGTATAAATAATCAATATCAGGGAAGCAAAAAGCAATACCACCAGAGTTGGAACAGACCCTTAAAAGTTCTTAAGAAACTATGAACAATAGTATGGCAAGAATTTTGAAGAGTTAGTTGAAGCACACAAATTCCTAGAAAAACACAAGCCACTAAAGCTGACATAAGAAGAAATAGAGAATCTGAATATGAGTTGAAACTAGTCCATAACTAAAAGCCTTCCAATAAAGAAAATTCTGAGCCCAAATGACTTCACTGGAGTGATCTGTCAAATGTCTAAGAAAGAAAAATGCCCATCTTAAATTCTTCCAGAGAATAGAGAAAGAGGTAACAAGTCTGATTTGTCTTAAGAGGTCAGCATACACTTTATCTTCTTTATCATAAGAAAAGAAACTTACTCACAGGTGCAGATGAGGGAAAGCTAACCAAAACACAGCATCAGCTAAGGAATCCAGCAATATTGGAAAAAGAGTAATATATCAGAACCTAGTTGGATTTATTCCAGAGGGTTAATGTGACAGGTTACTACAATCATTATTAACAAGATAAAAGAAAAAGCATCCCAACAGAAACATTTCAATGTAGAAAAGGTTTGCTGCTTTAAAAATAGTAATAATAATAATAATAACAATGGCAATAAAGCTGATCTGGTTCAGTTGTTTGGTTCACGGATGAAGAAATTTCCCACGCAAGGACACACAGCACCCTGTGATGGACCCTTCCATGATGATTTCCTTTACTTGCCCCACTCTTGGGAGGTTTGGGGGGTTTTTTGGTTTGGTTTTAGGGGTTTGTGTTTAAGTCAGATGATGTTTCTCCAGAAGTCCTTTGACACCCCTCTATCTTCCTCTTCCTCTTCCAAGCTTCACATTCCCTCCCAACGATTCCCAGGACTGATCTACCAGGTGAGAGCCTATGGTAGGGAGGGGCATACCTCCGACACATAGGACATCCACTCTTTGTCACTGTTGGGCCTCCTGGAGTAAGAGTTGTAGACGATGGCATCCTTCACCAGCACAGCTAGGGCTCTCAGGATGAAAGAAGCAAACAAGTTCATGTGGATGTAGTTGCGTGTGCAGTGGAGTTTTCTGTGCAGGGAGAAAACCAGGTGTCTTCCCTCAGGAAAGAAGGGTTCAGACCAACAGGTGTGTGCCTGAAACACCTGTGCATCTATCACTAGAGGGCAGGTGTTGATAATGTAGACTCCAGAGCGGTACAGCTGGGTTATGTGATTTTCTCTGTGCCTCATTTCCCTCATCTGGAAAATGGCAATAACAGTTACACATTGAGTAAAAATTGAGAAACTGAGGCAGAAGGGTTAAATCAGCTGTCCAAAGTCCTAGAGAAGGAAGTGGTGGAGCTGAAACCCAGAAACTCTGAGACCGAAACAGCACTCTCCAAGGTTCTACTACCTATCAGTACAAGAGCGCTTACCTCAAGGATCACAGGGGTACCAGTCACTTGATTGGTGCAAAGTACTCACACAGTACCTACACATTGTACATATCCAGACAATGTCAGCTTTCATCGCCTCCTCCTTACTTACCCGAAGCCTTCTGTAGGCTCTTCTTTTGTACTGGCTGGTGTAAAACTCTGTGTCCTCTGTCTCTCTAGCCAAAAGGGCTCTTTTCCATCACTGCACTCTCACAGTTCTGCCTGTGCCCCCAGTACAGCACAAATCTGCCTGGTTTTAGAGCTATTGTTACTTTTTAAATTTCTGAACAGTACCCAAGGCAGGTCTTGTGTTTTATTACTTATGCACCTTTCTCCCTAATTGGATTGGGTGCCACTCAAAGGCAAGGATTAGATCTTACTTTCTAGCACATGAGACAAAATGGACATCTGGTCAACCCCTAGGCTTAGCTAAAGTAACTTCTTCTAGTGTTGGACAGCTACACTCTCCGGGCTTGCTCCTGGGACTTTGGGAAGGTGACTGAAGGAGGTCGTGGACAGCAATGGGTACAGGCTGTGGAATTCTCCCACTGCTCAAGAATTGCTCTCCAGGTGGGGTGTATGGTCATGACTTTAATCTAGGAGCTATAGAATATCCTGAGATTGAGGGACCAGGCCTGGGGTTAGAGGAGCCCAGGTGGGAAGCCATTATGGAGCTAGCATCCTGGTCTCCAGGCGCCCATCTAGGTCTCCTGCATCGTTATCCAATGCTCATTCTGCCATGTTATTCTCAGTGATGTTGCTGAAGGAAGGATGAGAGGCAGCCCTTGGAAGGCCCCCTAGAGGGTCCATAAATATCTCACTTGGGTGATTCCTAAAAACACGATTTAGTAAAGTACACTAAGGCTTTAGATTCTGAGAAATAAGGGAATGAAAATGCTCAGTCTCTGAACCGCCTGGTCGTGAACCTGCCCCCATCACTCACCAGCCACGTGACATTGGACAAGGTATTGATCTCTCCATATTTCAGTCAACTCACTTATACAATGGGGCTAATGATAATGCTAATCTCCTAGGATTAGAATTAGCCTCAATTCTGATTAGGAAGACATTTAAATGACTTAATACATGTAATTTGCTCAGAAATGTGCCCAGCACCGAGGAAGGACTCAGATGATTGGTAGCTATTTGGAGTCTGGGGGCCCAGCTCTACCACTCACTAATTTGCTTTGGGAAAGTTTCTTAGTCTCTTCTGTAAAAATCATGCCCCTGGCAGGGTGGGGTAGACAGGAGGTTGTCCAATCCTGAGGAGGCTAAAGCAGAGGTAAGACTCCCCGATTCCAGGTCCAGGTGTACTCTGTGACCACCAGCGACCCAGATCCTCTCCCTGGACCTCTTAGATCCCTTTCCCCTTCACCTGCAAAATGGAGTTGATGGGCCAGAGACTCTCTCCCATCCCTTCTAGCTCTGGTGGGTCATGACATCAGCCAGCCCAGTCTTCTGCACTCTAGAGGGAGCCAACGAACAATTCCCGGGGTGGACACCTGAAGACCTGTAAGCAGAGGTTCCACTCACCGGAGAAACAAGAGGAGGGTGAGTGCCAGGAGGAGGGAGACGATGGACAGAGAGTACCCCACGGTGTACAACAGCTGCAAGGTTGACAGCAAGGCATGGTGTTCCGCCTGAGCACAGACAAAGAGCAGATCTGACCACCAAACCAGGCAGCTATGATCTCCACCCCCCAGCTCCATGCCCAGGAGGACCATGGCTCTAGGCATGCACTGTAGCCTTGTAAACACCCAACTAGGGTAGCTAAGGCTGCTCTCTGGCCCATCTCAGAGGCCAAAGAGCCTTGATGAACTGAAATGCCCACTGGGAGGGTCTCACCTTGATGGCTGGTCCTATAGTCCAGCCTTGATGCACCAGGATAGATACTATCATGGAAGACTTGTGCTCAAAACAAGAAGGTGCCTTGGAAATGAGGACAGGTGGTGTTTTTTTGTTTGTTTGTTTTGTTTTTGTTTTTGTTTTTGTTTTTTTGTCCCTCGGAGTGCTGTCCCTAGGGTGTAGGAATCCTTCTCTCTGGAAGATGGGGCCAGGTTTTCACCTGGATGTTCCCTCCTAAAATAACTTGTCAGGCAAGACCCCTTAGGTGAAGCCTCCATAAAACAGTGCGATATTTTCTCTGAGTCCCAGGGCAGCCTGGTGGTGAACAGAGGATAATTTGCTGGAAACTCTGTGTTGTCGTGATTTTTCCAATGGAATCCCACCTTCTCACTCAATCCATCATGCTGTTTCCCGCTAAATTTTTGTACAAGAACCCACAGCACATAAGTATTATGTGCTAAATCATGGCTTAAACTTCTCTACAGAACACTCTTATCAGCTTTATTAAAGCAGACTGGTGTACCATAAACTGTATGTATTTAAAGAATAAACCTAGATGAATTCAGACATGAATAGATTTGTGATTTCACCACCACTTTCAAGATAATGAACATTCCCATAACCTCCCAAAAGTTTCCCTGTGACCCTTTAAAATACATTTCCTCTCATTCCTTCACACCATCTTATGCCCAAAGTAAACACTGGTCTGCTTTCTGTCATTAGAGATTAATTTTCACTTTCTTAAATTTTATATAGATAGAATCCTATGATAGGTTTCCTTCCTTCCTTCCTTCCTTCCTTCCTTCCTTCCTTCCTTCCTTCCTTCCCTCCCTCCCTTTCCTTCCCTCCCTCCCTTTCCTCTTTCTCTTTTTTTTCTTTCCTCCTTCCTTCCTGCTTGCCTTCCTTCCTTCCAAATATATGTATTTGTTTATTTATTTACCTATTTGTTTATTTATCAGAGAGACAGAGAGAACAGAAGCAGGGGGGAGGCAGGCAGAAGGAGAAGCAGGCCTCCTGCTGAGCAAGGAGCCTGACATGTGACTCAACACCAGGACCCTGGGATCATGGCCTGAGCCGAACGCAGATGCTTAACTGACTGAGTTACCCAGGCATCCTGGGATCTTGGTTTCTAGTAACATTCATCCACTTAAGAGAATCCAGAACTCTTGGAAGAAATTGCTAATTTGGGCCCAGAACAGGAAAATCATCAGATGAGTGCTCCAAGACCAATGAGAGTGTTACAAAAGGACACAGGAGCCAGTCTGGAGGGATTTCATTAGCTAAATTTAGAAAAAGAATGAGCATCAAAATAATAAGTGAATAAAGCAATTTGTAAGTTCATAGTGATACCCAAAACCAGGGGAAAGGGGAAGGAGTCTTCTTTCAGAAGAATGCCAGCTAGTAAATATAGAAGAAATGACAGAGGGGCGCCTGGGTGGCTCAGTCGTTAAGCGACTGCCTTGGGCTCAGGTCATGATCCCGGGGTCCTGGGATCGAGCCCAGCATTGGGCTCTCTGCTCAGCAGGAAGATTGCTTCTCCCTCTCCTACTCCCCCTGCTTGTGTTCCCTCTTTTGCTGTCTCTGTTAGATAAATAAATAAAATCTTAAAAAAAATTTTTTTAAATGGCAGAGCTCAAATTAACTCAAGTCAGCATCATTGATGAAGGCTGTGATACTGACGAAGAGAAGACACACACAGGATTCCAAAGCATCGTCCCACCAGTTACTAGCCAGATAGAAAGGGAGAAAGTAGCTATACCATTGAGAGATCTGGTTGTCACTACCGAGACCAAGTGATCACACAGAACATCATCGTAGTGAGACACCTGACATTTTGGTCTCCTGGCATGAGGCTACACAGTGTACCCAGCACCTATGAGGATGAACTTGGGTCTTACCAAGCCTCCAAACCCAACTTCCAGCTTAAGGACATCAGAAGATGAAGGAACGCATCGAATGACAACAAAGTTTTTTTTTTGGTGGGGGGGGGGGGGGGGGTCTTCACAAAGCCAGTGTCCTGGGCTGTCATGGGCTGGGATGGGGAAGATTCTAAATTAAAAGATGCTAAAGTGATATGAAATGAACCCCAATATATGAACCAGGACTAGACTCTGGTTCAGGGAAGAAAAGTTCTAAAAATGGGAGGGAAAAATTGGGGAAACTTGAAATTAGATAAAACTTAAGCTATTAGGACGTTCATTGGAATCGTGGTGCTGTAGTTACGCAGAATAATGCCTTTGCTTAGGAAGGACCTGACGAATATTTAAGAATGAAATGTCATGATGTCTGCAAATTACAGTCAAATATTTCACAAAGAGGGAGACAAAGCAAGAGCGAATGGGGGAGAGGGGATGTTAATCCTTGTTAATATGTTTATATGATGTTAATCATGTTAACACAATAAAATTTTGAATTTAGATAGTGGGTCTGTGAGTGCTTATTTTATTATTCTGTTAACTTTTCTATGTGTTTGGATATTTCAAAATAAAATGTTAAAAATAACAGATATATATCAATTGATATCTCTTATGTGGTATGGAAAACTAAATTTTATCATTAAAGTATATATATTAAAATTCTATACACACATACAAATTTACATACAAACATGATCTCCCTAAAGAGAATCCTTTATTGTGCATAAGGACCCCCGACTGATGAGAAGGAAGAAATCACGTATTTCGTTTGCCAGCACTCAGAAGAGCAAAGATCTGCTATCACTAGCCTTTTTTTGGGCAAAATATCAACCTGTTATTAGAAACACAGGCAAACAGGGCCAGAAGCTGGTTTTTTATGTTTTGAGGATTTTGAAGTTGGTTTTTCATGTTTCGGGGATTTGTTGTTTTTTGTTTGTTTGTTTTTTTAAGTATTTGAATTCTTGGGGAAATGGCCATTGGCAGAGAGGACGAGGCAATGCCCCAGGCCTCACCTCTCTAAAGAGAGAAATCTTAACTTCCAGTCTTGGAGAGAGCAGTTTCCAATTCTGGTTTTGCTGTCCCCGTGTGCTACCTCGGGCGCCTGTGGGGCTGAGCCCAGAGGAGGCCGTAGGCATCCCACACCTGCTGGTGGGTCCCTCATGATCCCCCGAGTCCCAGCCTCAGCTGCACGCTGGCATTACCCGGGGACCTAGGTACTGGTCTGAGGCCCAGGCCCCACACAGACTCAATGTTCGGAATCTGCAAAACTGTTCCCTGAGTATTTATTAAGTGTCTATGGTGTGCACACACTTTTATGAACCCAGTACTAGGCCAGGGATGAGAAACCGGGTGGCCTGAAGCGTCCCCATGTCACCCTTGTTGCAGAAGAAATCCAGTGGCCAGAAGTTGCTTTCATGTGACTGTGGACCTTCTCCAGGGGAGTCTGGGCTAGACCAGCTGTGGGGAAAGTCTGTGTGGCCCCCAAAGCCAGCTGGGGTGGGGGGCCCTGGTGGAGGGTGGTCGGGGCCCGGGGCCCATCATCACCGGGCCAAGCGCACTCACGTTGCTGTCGGAGCTGTGGTTCTTGGAGCATTCAGAGTCATCCTGCCAAATATCTGTGGAGTTTTCCAGCGTCTGCCAAGTGCCCGGAGCCAAGCAGTATCTGTAGGCCCTTCCTGAGTTTTCTGAAAGTAAACACAGCTCTAGGGGAAAGGTCAGAGCACGCAGCCCACGCCCAAGCACGTGGTGAGGCCCTCGTCTTCACCGCAAAGCTGTGGAAAATCCCAGGGAAAAGGGATTTTCACTTCCCTTTTGGGGGGGTGGAGAGGGGGTACTCATTAGCATCCCTGCTGTTTATTTGGGAAGGAAAGAAAAACATGGAAGCCTCTGAGTTTCATAACAAACCACGGTCCTCTAATGTCTGCTGTGTTTACCCAAAGTCTCTGGAGCTAGAACAGTTCCTGGTGACTCAGAGACGTGGGAGCCCTCAAAGGTGCAGCCCAGCTGGGAGACGCGGACCTGGGGCTTCCTGGCTGTGCGCAATCAGAGAGGGGCGTCCTGTCCTGGTGTTCTAGAGGTGGCGCCACAAAAAAGAGAAAGAGGTGGACAGAGCCTGCGTTTTCACCTACAGGCTTGGTGGCCTTGAGCTTGGGGCCCTCCCACTCCCAAGACTTCCAGTGTCTTCTTGAAGAGCTGAGGACCATCATGGTCACGGTTCCGTCCCTCCCCAACTTGGGGGAGGATTCGATGAGTGTGTGAGTGGGCATTTGCAAGTAACAGGACGCCTCTGTGGCTGGTGAGGAAGGCTGCTGTGACCCAGTCATGTCCATTCCTAGGTCTTACCCCCAAAGGGATTGCCATCCCTCCTCCCCACCGGAAAACCAGGGACCGGATTCGCAAATGAGCAACGGAAATTGTCCTAATGTCCCTCTCCCGACCCTGCACAGTGTGGACCAATGGTGACTATTTGTTGAGTCCGCAGATCAGAGATCTGCTGATCTGCCCAGCTGAAGTCTCCACAAGGGTCTCTAGCTGCCCTCTCTAACACCATTCCCCAAAGCAAGCTCTTTGTCTTCTCCCCCAAACCTGGCTAGTCGCATAATTTCTAGCTCCTGTTGATGGCAAACCCATCGCCCCAGTCCTCAGGCCCCAAACCTTGGAGTCATCCTTGCTTTCTGTCTGTCTCTCCTACCCTTCATCTGGCCCATCAGCCAATCCTGTCACCTGGACATTCCAACGTACCCTAAATCTGAGCCCTGCTTTTTGGCTTTCGTCCCCTGCTCCCTGCTTTCTGGAGCCACCTCTCTCTCTCTCTCACCCGGATTATTGCAAATGCCTCTGACACTCTTGTCACTCGTGGTCTATGGTTCACACGGCAGCCACGCCACACCATGCCTCGCTCCAAATCTTCCAAAGGCTGTCTGAAGACAAGCCAGAGCCCTTCCCGGCCTCCCACAAGGCCCTGTAAGGTCTGGCCCCCAGTACTCTCTGACCTAACCTCTTATTGGCTCTCTTCCCCTTCAGGGCAGGCCTCTCCCTTGCTGTTTGTGGGACATGCCAGACGTGAGCAGTGGGAGCCCTGAGCCAGCACCCAGATGATGGTGAGCATGGGTGGGGCCAGGCGGGGTGTGAGCTCAATTCCTCTCCTCCACTTTCCAGCCCTCTTGTCCGTCACCTCCTGCTTCATCTGACAAGTCTTGATGGTTCCTCTGCTTCTGCCTGCATTCACTCCATCATGGTCCCTTTCTCTGGATCCCTGCAGTCACTTTCAGTGTCAGCTCTCTGCCCCCCAAACCTGTTCTCCCAGCCAGCGAGCCATCAACATCAGATCCCCAAACCACAAATCATATGAAGTCCTTCTCATGCCTCAGCCCCTTCCTGGCTCCATGGGATCTCAGCCTCCAGAGGAGAGTTAAAACCCTTGGTGTCAGACCCAATTTCTATGCAATCAAGCCCCAGCCTTCTGTATAGTCAAGTATCATCCCACCTCCCACTCTCCATTGTGTGTCTTCTTCTGGTCTTATCCCACCAGAACTTTTCTCCTTCTTTCTTCTCTAAACCCTTCCACTGACTCCACATTTTCTTCTCACTGTACAGATCCCTTTGGATTCTAAGATTTAATGCACAGGACGTTGAGTGGAAGAGTAACTTTCCACCTTCTGCAAATCACACTTCCGTTGGGGCACTCTGGAAGCCCAGAACCCATTTTTTGAAAAAAGCCTTTAACTCAACTCTTTGTAAGTTCAGATTTTGGACCACTTTTTCCCTTCAGGTGGAATGGGCCTCCATTTTTGGCTCTTGGGAAGAATGAACAGGTACAGGAGCTGGGCACGGGTGGTCTGCTCCATGTGCCCTTGAGATCCAGGGACATTGGAGTCTTAAAGACCTTCAGCATTCTGAGGGCTGGACTTTGGTCTCCACCTCAGTTCCATCTACAAAGCACCTGCTGTGTGGCTGACTCCAGGCCTGCCTTTCTTATTCATTCAGTGGGTCCCAAGAGTAGTTGTTCACCTGACTTTATAGACAAGAAAACAGTTCAGAGGGCTCTAGACACTTGCCCAAAGTCACAGAGTGTAAAAGAGATGAATGGACTCTGGAATCCAAGTGCAGTGCTCTCCCCACCCCACTGGAGCTGGCTCCCACCTGGCTGCTTCCTTCACTTATCCAGACTCTCCGGTCCAGCAAACTCTGGTATCTTCCCTTAAACATCACATCTTCATGCCTCCTGGGTCACTTCCAACCGGATTTCACCAGAGGACAGTTCCACAGAACATACCACTAGCCGTCCCACCCAGAATGCACCTCTCTTCCTTGGAAACTCTCTCTTTGCTCTAGAGGCCTCAGAAAATCGAAACCAAATTTTAACCAATGATTTACTGAGCTGAAATTAAATACAAAATATCACCATCTCTCCTTCTCTGTAACCCATTCCCACTTGGTTTTGCCTGGAACTTTGTAATTGCTTATGTTTTTTGAGAATAGTTTTTTTTTTTTTTTCTTATTCTTTGATGGCCTACAGTCGAACATAAAGGAGTTCTAACCAGTCATTGTTTCTCTACCCCTTCCAGCATAAACCAACCAAGAGGCTGGGTGGCTGGGCGGCTGGGGCAGGTGGGCATGTGATAACCTCCTGGGGGTCCTACATAATAGCCACTTCTTTCAAGCAAGATGGGGGCAAGCTGAGTGGTTAAAGACTCCATCCAAGTCCTATGGGGCTTAAAAGCACCACCCAGTAGCACCACCTTCCAAAGCTATCACAAAGATAGTTTGGGCACCCTTCTTCTCCATCCAGGAAGCCCAAAGTTGTGGGTGTGAGCTTCCCAATCTCTCCCCCAGCTCCTTCTCCTCTCCATGGCAACCCTCGCTGCAGCAAATTCTGTAGAAGCTGAGCCTGGACTCTCCAGTCTTCAAAGAAAAGAGGACTATTGTATTAATGGAGCACCAGACGCAGAAGAATTTCAGGAAGGCAAGACGAGGTGCCCAGAGAAGAAGGAAGATGTGTTATTGACAGCTTAGGAGACTTGTGGGGAAAGAGGACTTGAGAAAAGCACTCGGTTGCAATGTGCTCTCCCTAATTGCTCCCCAGATGGCCTACCCAGGAGGGACCAGCCTTTAAGAGAACTGCCAGAAAATGGTAAAATAAGACTTACCACCTTCACGCCACCAAGGTAAGTATGAAGGGCAGGGAACGGAGACATTTCCTGGAGAAGAATGAGGCCAGCACACGTATCGATCAAAGGTCCCATTACAAAAGGTTCCTGTGGGGAGAAAAGGTCCTGGATGAGGGCACCAGGGCCACCGATGGAGGCAGAGCCCCTTCCCTGGCACAGGAAGCTGGTGTACCCTATGCAGGAACTAGCACGGGGGAGTCCCATTGTCCAGATACATCAAGGATGAGGAACAGTGTGGGGAGGAAGGAATGCTTAATGCATCCTAAGCTCTGTGGCTTTGTCTACTCAACCTGACCTCTGGCAGCAGTCCTGTCAGTTATGTCCATGTGCACGTCATGCTGATGCTGGTTTATTTTACATAGACTGAACTATCACACAAACTCGGGGTCAGGAGGACACTTGGAGGTTTACCCAGTGCCTTCCATTCCATAACTCACTACAGAATTGTCAAACCTTCATCAGTTAGATGCTGGAACACCCTGACTGTGAAATGCGTGATACGACCCATGGGTACAGGGAGGTCCAAAACTGAGGTTCTTTGTTGCACATATCCAACACAACCCACAACCTCTTTAGGGTCATATTTCTCCATTTGAAGACCAACTCAACAATCATAATGAGGCATTTGCACCACCTCAAATTCAGGGGACGATTTGCACCCTGGCACTTGGCGAAGAGATGCTGAACACACAGGGCACTCCCTTGTGGACCTCCTGGAATTAAAGGAAGGGGTTTCAGGTTGGATCCCAAATTCCCATATTGCAAGTTCCTCACTCTTGGGAACTAAGCATCATTCCTGTCTGCTCCCTATTGGGGCTAGCATGCAGGGGCCACTCAGGTTGAACAACCATGTTACTAGCATCAGGATCCCATAGATGCAGATCTGCCAGCTTATGAGCTGGCTCAGGGCATCTTGTCGACCCGGATGCCAAGTGTTAGCACATGGTCTGTGTGAAACAATGTTCACCTGGCCAAGCTTCTCACAGCAGGACTCCAGAAAAAGAGAACATGCCCCACTTTGATTTCAGAAAACAATATTCCCTAAAGTAAGGGGTGGTTCTCATAACAGATACCAAGCTCTGATTGCCACCAGACTGGGCTGAAGAAATAGTCAGAGGGAGAGGGGTATGGCTTGAAGGTTGGGACTCTTTGAGTCAGGAAAAAGAAGACAGCGTTTATGGTATCCTCTCCTCCACTGAGCCGCTGAATGAAATCATCTGAAGGCAGTCAGGAGGATGAGAGGCCATATTTCATCATTCAAAAAAAAAAAGTGTGTGGGGGGGAATCTGGACATATCTGAAGAGTCAGTATGTGGGCAGGAGAGGCCATGGACTGATCAAACAATGAACATATTTGCTGGAAGGCTCTAACCCTAGTCTGGACCTGGCTAGGAGAAATGTTGGACCTCCTCCCACCCACCTACCCAACAGAGTCCCAGGTTAATCTATGACAGTGGCTCAGGTCATGCGATTTGGTGGTGAGTGTGTGTCACATCTATGTATATACCATCCCATGTGCTCTTTTACGATGAGAGGTGGGGGGCTCTCCTCCCTTCCCTTGAACCTGGGTAGGCTTTGGTAACCACCTGATGCAACTGAATATGGGAGGAATAGCTTCTGAGGTTGGCTCATAAAAGGCAAGACGGCTTCTGGTCATGCTTACCCTGGAAGCCTCACCACCATGCTGGCAGGAGCCTCGTCTGTATGGACAGGCCACTGAAAGTGTTCTGGCCAATGGACTCATGGCTGGGAGCCACAATCAGCCATCTGTTGTCAGTGCAAACAAGCCTTCTGATGATTCCAGCCCCCAAACACTGAGCCTTCCAGCTAAACGCCAGACACTGTAGGGCAAAAACAAGTCATCCCCACTGTGCCTGGTCTGAATTCCTCACCCACAGAAACTGGGATGATGAAGATGATGACTGCTTTAAGCTACTGAGCTTTGGGGCTATTTGTTACACAGCCACAGATAACTCATACACCTGCTTACCAGAAGGTTCCTTGAGCAAGTCTCTCAGACACTTCTCTTTGTATTGAGCCCACTTGCGAGTCGTTTCCTCAAGAAGGGATCCTGTAACCTGGGCAGAAGAAAACCATGGTGACTCCCAGTTCACTACAGAGGTGGCCTTGTAACCGTTCCTCCACAAATTTCAAAACTTTCCGTTGAAGTGGCCATAATGACCTGCACCAAGAAATAAGACTTCTTTGGCATCTTACATTCTATCTTACAGGTGGACACAAATCTTATATTGACTCCATAATCCAATCATATTGGTTTTAGTACAGATATGAAAGACTTTCTTAAAAAGATTTTATTCATTTGACACAGAGAGAGAACAAGTAGGCAGAGCAGCAGAGGCAGAGGGAGAGGGAGAAGCAGATTTCCCATTGAGTAGGGACCCTGATACAGGACTCAATCCCAGAACCCCAGGAACATGACCTGAGCTGAAGGCAGAAGCTGAACTGACTGAGCCACCCAGGCACCCCTGAAAGAATTTTACCCCTCCCCCAAATCTTCAAGTGAGGTCGATATTTTAAGAGGAGGCAATATGGTCTTCCTGGATGTCACACACGATGAGATTAACAGTTGCGTGTTGCTAAGATTATGTGAATCTCAAGAAGAAAAGCTCCAGTGGGAAGAGCTCCATAGTGTGTCAGGGGAAGGCTGGGAGAATTGTGGGGACCTGCACCATCCCACTTGGCTGACTGAGGGTCCACAGTCAAAGACTGGGTAGAGAGATGCTCTGCTACCATACTAAGACCTTGGGTTTTTTCCCCTTTCTATCATTAACTATTCCCTCCCATAGAACCTTAAAAATACAATATGCATGTTTGGGCTTTCCAGATAATTGAGTTGTCCAACAACATCTAATTGTGTTTCTGTACCACTCGTTTTGTTTCATTTTTAACACAACAGGGGGCCAAAAGGGGTTTTCTCTTCTTCAACTGACTCCTCTTTATTGAACACCTGTTACATGCCAGGCTTTGCATTAGGGAGGAACTAAAGGGGATGAGGTGATGGAGAAAACACAGCTTCTGCCCTAAAGGACTTAGAATCTTCTAAAGATAAAATAACTGTATAATTGGCTGACAATCAAAGTCAAGTGATGTTCATACCCTATCGTTCTCTGGTCCTGAAGAGTTTCATCCCCTAGTGGCTTGGTGTTGGCAGAATCAGCCACAAACCAGAATCCGGGAGCTGTCCTTGGTTCCTTCCTCCACATCATCCAACCAGACACCAGATTCTGTTCTACACCTCTCTCCTGTCTAACCCTGCTTCCCATTTCCTCTGCCTCTGGCCTGGTCTACACTGCTCCAGAGAGAGAGGTCCACAGGCTGTCCTGCCTAAAGTCTTCCCCTCATGGCCTGTCGAGTTGAGATGACATCTCAGCCACCCCAGGGCCCAACCTCTTGACCCTAAGTCATGTTCCTCTGTGACTCCATCTTTGCCTTTCCCACTGGCCCTCCCTTCTACCCTCATCTTCATCTGCTCGCCCCCAAAGACTCAACTCAAGCCTAATGACCCCCCAGTCACACTTGACTACCTCTGTCACTGAAGTCTTGAGCCAGGAACCCTTCTTCCCAGTGCCCTGTGACTCCACACATGACTGAGTCCTGTGTCCCATCATGTTGTACTATCATTGGTGGTTCATTCGTCCAACTCCTTCGCTACCCCATACGTTCCTTGAGGGCCAAGACATGACTTTCATCTCTGAATACAAGTCCCTAGCACCAGCCAGGAGTTACTGTCCTCAATTTCCAGCTAAAGAGACAGAGGCACAGGCATGGGGTGGAGCTGAAGGTGGGGAATGAGCATGGGAGGGGCTAGATATGTGATCTGGGATAAGGTCACCCAGTTCAGTTGGCTTTGAGGCTTTGTGTCCTCTCACAAGGGGGTAAAAAACTCAAATACTTTCTTGGGCCAGGAAGACAGCCTAAAAGAATGAGGTAAGACACACGTAGCAACAGGTGTAACAACAGGGAGTGGAGAAGCCCAGTGTAAACTGGGGTGATGATCCATCAAAAAGCACGTGCGCGCACGCACGCGCACGCACACACACACACACCATCTATGAGCCCTGTGGATGTCAAGCTTCCATGTTCTGAGTCACTAGTATAGTCTCTCCTCTCCCTCCTCTGCCCAGCATGGCCTACCTCCCAATACTACAGAAGGCATGATGGCACCTATGAATAATTCCTTTGCATCCTTTCCAGAGAACCACACAGACAACTTTTTGAAGATCTGGTAGAGTCATAGTTAGACCAGAGATTACCAAATGTTCTCAGGTCATGGCGCCCTTAGTGACTCGCCATTTTCCCATAGTCCCCCTAAGCCAAAAGAAAGACCTAAAGTCCGATTTTTTGAGTAGGTAAGGCCAAAGGACGTCAGTATTCACAACCCAACAATGCCTACTGGAGATTGCACAACTTCCCAAACTTGGGGATCCGATAGGACACCACCTTGATCCACATGGATGTTTGCGCAGTACTTGCTTTTCAGTACAGCAATTGCAACAAACAAACAATCAAATGAAAAACCAGCTTTGCAGAGATACAACATCAGCAAAGGGAATGGGGCACGATCTAATGCTCAAACCAGGAACTACCTTGAGCTAGTAATTCCCAGGGTCTGGCGGATGTCATGGGTCGCTTTGCTTCCCTTGAAAAATTAAAATATTGGGGCACCTGCGTGGCTCAGTGGGTTAAGCCTCTGCCTTTGGCTCAGGCCATGATCTCAGGGTCCTGGGATCAAGCCTCACATCAGACTCCTTGCTCGGCGGGGAGCCTGCTTCCCCCTCTCCCTCTGCCTGCCCCTCTGCCTGCTTGTGATCTCTCTGTCAAATAAATTTAAAAAAAAAGAAAAATTAAAATACCTTACAGCACCCCTGTGAGCTCACAGTGGTGCCCTGAGGCACATTAGCACAACCATCTGGAAACCATGGGATTAGCCGATAAGTAATAACAATGATGATAATGATGAGGAAATAATTGGCATTTACCCTTAGGCTTCAGTTTCCAATAAACTTTCAATCTCCCACAATACCTTCTGTCTCTGAGTTACAGCACAAGAGTCACGAAGGGAATTTACTAACACGCTGTTTAGGAAAATCAGTTTCCCGACGGGACTATAACTGGATTCGTATTATTTTTCACACATTCGGCAAAGAAGCTGAGAACCAAATCATCAGCTTCCAGAATCCTCCAAGCCGCCAAAGTTAGACACTTTCTTGGATAAAGAGCTACTTATATTGTCAGGGACGTCACTGGAACTGGCCAAGGAAGAGACAATAAAATCAGTCATGCACGTGAGCTGTGTCCCTGGACTTACTCTGCCCTCTTCCCCTGCCCTTTGCCATGACTGATGGCCATGGTCAGAAGAAGGGGAAGGAGAAGGAACCCTACAAAGCACCAAATTTGTTCAGTTCAGGGGAGCTGGACAAACAGACTGTCTTCCCAGTTACTTGTTCCGAAGACATGAAAAACACAAGATATGATGATCACACCCAGATCCAAACAAGGTAAGGAGCCAAAGAAATAGCACGAACAGATGTTTTCTCTCTTTTTTTTTTTAAGATTTATTTATTTATTTATTTGACAGACAGAGATCACAAGTAGGCAGAGAGGCAGGCAGAGAGAGAGGAAGGGAAGCAGGCTCCCCGCTGAGCAGAGAGCCCAATGGGGGGCTTCATCCCAGGACCCTGGGATCATGACCTGAACCGAAGGCAGAGGCTTAACCCACTGAGCCACCCAGGTACACCCAGATGTTTTCTAACTGGAAAAAAATCAACTTGATCTTGATTCCTCTTTCCCTTGAGTGGGCAGCCAGCATCAATGCCTACCTTGGCTGAGAAGCGATCAAGGGAAAGGGAAAAAAGACCTTCTGAGAATTGCTCTCAATCCATTTTATTGTATTCTTTGTTCAAGAAGGCATACGCCTCTCTGTAATTCAAACAAAAAATTGCAGGAGAGCCCCAAAAGGGGAGAAGGTGGAATCCTGATCTTAGTATCAGAAATGACCGTCTCCTTCTAGCCTCTTCTATCTGGGCACACGCTTCCGTTTATTTATTTTTTTCTTTTTCTTTCCCTTTTTATTTTAACTGAAAAAGGAAATCATCTAGTTTCATGCTTCTACCAGAAGATGCATTGTGAATATACATCCATTTCAAGAGCCGTACTTCTAAAACATCATTTTAACAGCTACATGGTGATGTTCGGTAAGGGAATAGGATATGATTCAGTTTTCAAATTCTCCAGCATCGGACACTTACATGGGCCAAGATGCATGCTAATATAAATTCTGCTGTACTGAAAATATTCACAATTAAACATTCGAGCACATCTTTATTTTCTTAGGAGAAATTCTTTCAACTGGAATTTCTGGGTCATTGAATATACACATTTTTAAAGGGTTTTGATAAGGGACTGACAACCTATCCTCGCCAAGTTTTTTTTTTTTAATTTAAAAATATGCACCTTTTTACGCTCCCCTCGGCAATGTAGGAAAGAGCCACAAATTCATTTCTTAACGAGCCTGAGAGAGAGAGAGAGAGTTTATGTTTTTTGAAGCCAAAACAACTGTTAATTAACTTAAATGAGTCCGGCAGGGGGTGGGGGGGCTGGACTGCTTGAATTTAGAAACTAAACTATCCCTGAGAATTTCTCATTAAGTGAATTTTTAGGAAGACTTCCTGCCAGAAAACACGCCACGGTCATTTATATTCCATGCAGGGAACGCGGCTGTGAGCAAAATCCATCACGAATGTCTAGCAAAGCCTTGAATGTAAACATCTGGGGGAAAACTATGGGATTTAAGACCAAGACCCGAGAAGGGGGGGGGCAGGGGTCATCATGGTTAGGGACGCACCCTGGGGGACTGACAGACCGAAGAGGTTCTGAGGACAGACGGGGTGGCAGGTGGGGGAGGGGGCACTGCTCACAGGGACATTATTGATTAGGAACATGTTAGATGAAAGGAAAAATGTATGGCTTTGTCAGCGTCCTACACCAGCCTGAAGCACTGACGATTTTGCTGGTATAACATACACACAGTCATACGTCTACAGCTGCCATGGCATGCTGGGAAAGAGAGAACCCAGGGCTTGCCTCTGGGCAGAGGAAGTGGCTGAACTCACAAGCCACAGGATGGCAGGTGACAGTCATCTAACAGGGCTTGGCACCCAGTGGGCAATGCATGAGCATCAGTGCACGATCGTGTGCAGAAGGGGAAGGAAACTAGACAGCTAGCTGGCGGGGTGCACTCGGTTGGAATATGAGCTCTCTGGAGAACTAAAGCAAGAATGTGAGTTCTGTATGGACTGTCCCAGGAAGGGTCCTGCCCCTATCGGGCTGGTGGCTCACCCAGAGGCTGCCACCACCGCAGGGATTCCACGAAACCACCCATTGGGCTCACATCCTCGGTCTGTAAGGGCTTGAAGGCAGCCTCTGGAAGAGATCGGACGCAGAGAACTTGGCAGGTGTTGTCTGCCTGTCTGGTTCCAGGTTAGCACCAAAGAAAGCCTGATGAGGTGAATATTTACAGCATCACGGCACCACGGCTCTCCCTAGATGGGGGCAGGAGGGATTTGGAATCCCAATGTCTACACACACACAGACGAACTCCACCCATGGACCAAAGGAGAAAGAGAACCCTTCCTCAAGCCACTTTCATTACCTGCATTTCTCGGGTGAATGGGACTGGGGTTCCTTCATGTTAGGGTCCAGCATGAAAATGGAACCTCCAATGGGAAAGGGGGCCAAAGTCTAGTCTCCCTGGATAAGATTAAAACAAGCTGAAAGTGCCTGGGTGGCTTGGTTGGTGAAGCGTCTGCCTTTGGCTCAGCTGGTGATCTCAGGGTCCTGGTACTGAGTCCTGAGTCGGGATCCCTGCTCAGTGGGGAGTCTGCTCCTCCCTCTGCCTCCCCCTGCTTGAGCTCGCTGTCTCTCAAATAAACAAATAAATAAAAGCTTTAATAAAAAAAAAAAAAGAATAAAACAAGCTGTCAGAATGCCCACCATGTAGGTTGGGTCACACACATTGTAGGACACAAACCTGAAGCCCTCACACATCACACCCTGGGGTTACTGTAGCTAACACAAGAAAGTGTTTTCATCTGTAAGTGGGATTAACAGGAGGGACTCCCTCGAGGGGCACGAAATGATTTAATACAAGGGACGCACCTGACACTTGCCGATAGCACGATACTATTTAAGTCTGATCCTATGTTTGTTAGGGGGGGGAAAAAAAGCATAGGTAAGAAAATAGCAGAAAACGGTCTGGGAGTATAAGCCCCCAAAGGCAAATGAGGGTGATTACTGGGCAGTGGGAATACAGTGATTTGTAGTTGGTATTTACACTTCTTTGAATTTTATACGTTCACTTTTCTAGACCATGATCATTCTATATTTTTATACTAAGAAGAAAGGAAGGAAAGGAAAGGAGAAATGAAAGAAGAGAAAAACCCCTTCACAGTCCATCAACCTTTAAATACTCGGGCCTGAGAAAATTGTAAAAGCAGACAGGAGGCTATCTGGGACCAGTTTAAATGCTATGCACAGAGTTCATGATGACCCTGGAAAATGCTTACAAAATAGTGTAAGGGGGGAAAGCCAGGATACAGAACACTTTCTGCGTCATAATTTCAGCAGCTCAGAAACACGCATAGAAAAAAGGATTTGCAGGAAATATGCCAAAATAGTAACAGCGATGACCTCCGAATATTAGGCTTATGGTTAATCATTGCCGCCTCAATACTGTTTTATATTTCCCAAATTGCCTGCGAGAGCCCGAAACTGCTTCTGGGATCCGAAAGTATGCAGAACTGATCCTACTAGCAGACACCATGACAATTCAAATCATAAACCGCTCTTACTTGCTTGATGGAGACCAGGAGCAGCAGGGCGAGCATGGGCCTTGCAGGGGCCAGGGAAGGGTGCTTCCTGGAGGGAGGGGGAGGCCTGGCCCCCCGGGCAGCAGCAAGGATGTCCATGGGCAGCGCGTGGACTTGGGGCGGGGGTCCCGCTTTCCTTCTCCCGGGCGCTGCCTCGCCCGGCGCCGGCCTCACCTTCCTCCCGCTGCGACTTCACGGGCGCGGGCGCGTTTCTCGAACAGTCCAAGATGGACCACAGGCGGCGGCCTCCTGCATTCCTCCAGGCACCGCGCGAGGAAATGTTTGCACAAACCCTCTCCACGCCGCGCAGAGAGCATCTGGACGGGGCTAGAGCCACCTACCGATGATTCTCCCGGGTTTCCCATCGGCGGTGGCTCATCCCCCGCCCCAGCACCCCCCACCCCCACCCCCACCCCAAAGGCAGGGAGATTTTTCCCAGACCTTGCCCCAAGTCAGCTGCGCTCCAGGGACTTCCTCGGCAGAGGCCCGCCCCAGAGGAAAAGCCAAGGCCTGGGCGTCCGGGGGTTCTGCTCCCAAAACCCAGCTCAGGGCACGAGGCCCGCGGGCCAGAGCCTCGGGTTCCAGCCGCTGAGCTGCCAGCCAGCTGTGCGGTGGGCATCTTGGAGAGGGAGGCTCGTTTCTTACCAGGCCCCCAAGGGCAGGGTCTCCTTCGGGGGGACCCTGACTATGCAAACACTTGGAGGGAGAAAGCGGCTTGGACTCAGGATCGCGTCTACCCAAGAGCCCGGGACATGCGGGAAAGCCAGACAGCCCTCCGGATTACCCCTTGCGCCCCCGGCCCACCTGGCAGAGGCTTTCCCCAAACGCACCCTGCCCCTCTCCCCATGATTTGCGCAGACTCAGCAAGTGCGCATGTGCAGAACCTTTCAGCCCCAGACCACCTGCTTCACGCTTCCTCACAACAAGCAGGTGCGGGGCGTGACGACTGCTCCACCCAACGGCTGGGGAAGTGAGGCACAGAGAGGTTAGGTTGCCGGCCCATGGCCACGAACGGCAAGGCCGGGAGACCCACCTGGTCAGGTGCTGATCTTCCCTTAACTCTCCCGGAACGGTCCTCTTCCCCAGCGAGCTCCTCGCGGGGCCTTGGCTCGGCCCTTCTCGCCCCACCTCTCCCTGAGCAAGTTTACCAGCCTCCAGACCCGGGACCCGGACCCGGGAGGAAGCCATCCTGCCTGGCTGAGATGCAGGTGGGCTAGAGACAAGAAGATCCTGTTTTCATTTAGGCTACTTTTGTTTTTCTCTCCATTCCAGTCGGACGGAGGAGCTCCTCTTGGCTGACTTGTCTGAGTGAATGAATTCCGGACGGTTGGGGAAAAACAAGTAAGGATCATTTCCTAGAAGCCCTTGGCAATCTTAAGATCCTGCCCCGCCAATCTTAAGATCCTGCCCCGCCACGTGGCAAGATTTTAAAACTTAGCGGAAAAATGCTCCTAGTGAACAAAGACCCCCCAAACGGACAGGGACAATAGTACAACCTCTGGAATCAGCATGGTCGTCTCTGGGACAGCAGGACAGAGAGTGCCCGACAATGCTCCGATTCTTTTCCTTTCGGCCGGAAAGCTATTCTGGAGCCCCACGACAATGACTGCATCTTCCACGCTGCACACTGGCAAAGGAAATGCCTGCCCGGTAAGAAAATTCTAGCTAATCTCTTTGAATGTATTCTCAAAAACGTTCTTTTGCTGAAGGGAGAGGGGTTGGGGCTGCCCATGACCTCCCTGCTGTTGGACAGATGCCATCTAGTGATGAGATGTGATAAATCCTCTTCCCCACGAGACAGATGGCCAAGCCCACAAACACAGGGTTCGCAAGACGTTGCCCTCTGCCTGCACCAACAGGAGGTAGAGAGTCAGAGGGACCCACATGGCACCACGCTTCTCTCCTACCTGCCCAGTCCAGTGTCTGCAGGTGTATCTGGGGGGTCCTCAGCTCAGCTGCAATCTAGGACTTGTGTTTCAGACGCTTTTCAGACTGGACTTTTCCGTGACACTCCTGCCCTCGTTCTTGCATCAATGTCCTCTGCCTGAGAAGTGACTGTCCCCCACTTCCAGAGGGGCCCCTTGGTGAGGGCAGGAATGAGAGTGCCACGGGCTATGCTTGCCAGCTTTTGGGCCCCAGGACGGTGCTGAATGCCGAGTCCTGTGGGGTGGGTGCTGCCCGCCCCTGCTCCCCCCAGCATTTCGGCTCTGGAGCGGACTGCCGGCACCTCAAGTCTCTCAGTCCCAGAAACAGGACGTTGTCCTTGGCAGTCCCTGTGTCCGTAGGGCTGGGCAGGGAACGGGCTGTGCGGGCCGTGGGATTCCCCATTTTGGGCACCCGACACTGAGTAAGTACCCTGATGAAAGCGAAAAGTGAGGGTGGGCAGACTCACCCAGACACCTGCCCAGATGCCCTTGGTCTTCCGTCGAGCACCAGCACCCTCCGCAAGAGCCAAAAGGTGGGAGGAACCTGAGTGTCTGTGGACTGGTGAATGCATGCACACAACGTGTCTGTCCACAGCATGAGATGCTACTGAACACTGAAAAGGGAGGGAATTCTGCCACCTGCTACATCACGGGCGAGCCTTGAGGACAATACCCTGAGTGAAATAAGCCAGTCGCGAAGAAACAGTACTGCATGACCCCACTCATGGGAGGGCCCAGGAGCGGCCACCTTCATAGGGACAGGAAGTAGAGAGGCAGGTGCCTGGGCTGGGGTGGGGGGATGGGGAGTAAGCGTTCCCAGGGGCGGAGCTCCAGTGTCACAAGGTGAAGAGGTCTGGAGATGGGATGTGCAATCATGTGAGGGTACACACGGTCACCATGGTCAGTTTCGTCTCCTGCATATTTTACCCCAAGTTGAAAAAGACAAAAACAGAGAGCCAGCCTCCTTCTGCACACCCGCTCCCTGGGAAGGACCAAAGGGCCAGCTCTGTCCGTGGGAACCAGTCCCCCCTCTGAGCTTTCTCCTGCGGCTTCTCCGGCCAGAGGTGCACATGTGGAGGCCACACGCTGGGGGAGCACCCAGGACCCCCTGGCGGATGTGAGAGAAGCCTGTAAGGGTGCCAGATGGCAGGGCTGAGAGGGGCGGGTAGCCTGCGGAGGCAGGAGGGGGCCCACCCGCTGCTCAGCCCGATGCCGCACACCTCCTCCAGCCATGGTCGGGGCCAGACAGCAGCAGGTGCTGACCCTCCTCCCCACCTGCCTCGCCCTGGCCTTCTCCCTCATCGCTGTGGGCAGCAGCTACTGGTGCAAGGGGACCCGGAAGGTGGCAAAGCCTCTGTGCCTGGACCAGCCGGGCGGGCCGCACTGCAGTCACTTCAGCGGGGGCCATGACAGCGATGGCAGGAGGGACACCGGGAGCCAGGTTGTCCAGTACATTTGGGAGACGGGGGACGACAAGTTCATCCAATGCAGGTTCCACGTGGGGCTCTGGCAGTCCTGTGAGGAGAACCTTGGCGGCACAGGTGAGCACGGCTGCGGGGGACGGGGCTGGGGACAGGTGCAGGAGCTCTGGAGCCGGGTGCCTGGCTTTGAGTCCCAGCGTGGCCACTGAGTGCCTCCGGATCCTTGGGCAACCTCTTCACCTCTCTGAGCTTGCTTTCTCAGCTGTCAAATGGGAACGAGAGAGGTACTCGTGACCAAGAGTTATTATAAAGATTGACTGCATTCACTGTCTTGCAGCCGTGCCTGCAACACACCGTGTGTTGGTAAACACTCGCTTTTACCCTTCCCTACTGTCACCCAATCCCTAGAGAACCCCAAATGGCCCTGTCCGTCTCCAAACTGCATCCTTGCACTCCGAAGGAGGGCTTGGAATGGCAGGTTCTCTTAGAAAACTGACTTTTGTCATCATTGGTAGGAAGGGGACCCCCTCTGTGGGGCACCTACCAGAGGTGAGAATCCTTAACAAGTTAGACCTTTGTCTCTGGAAACCCTCTAAATAACCCCGCAGAGTAGATACCATTTCCTCAGCTCACAAATGAGGAAACTGAGGCTTTGAGTTTCAGGTCACATGGCTGGTAAGCCCGACCCCTTTCTCACCCCATGATGCAGCTCTGATCTTTTGAGCTTCTGTGGGTTTGGCAGAGGGGTGGGAGGGAAATGGGGGAGGGGAAGAGACGAGAGAGAAGAGGGAGAGGAAGTTTTGGTGTTTGGAGCTCCTATATATCAGAAATGTCTTTCTTTCTTTTTTTTTTTTTTAAACCTCCCAAGGAACTGAAGAAGGAGGACTTGGACTCCCCAGGGTCAGGCATCCTGCCCATAAACCCAAGCCCATGCTTGGGGCCAGGATTCTCTTCCCTTCCTGCTAGGAAAGCATACCCTTCAAGGTGGAAAGGAGAGGCCCCCCCCTCTCCCCATTTGTCTCTTGATCTTGGGCTTAACGTGTCAAATTTCTTGACCAGCTTTTTACTTTCTCTGGAGTTTCTAATGGCTTTTTCCAACCCTCATAGCATTAGTGGTTTATTCTTGAGGTCCGAGTAAAAGGATCCAAGGAGGAACCCTCTGATATGGTGCTTACTCCTCTCCATCCTGCCTTAGTGGGGGCCGCAGAAGGGCAATGCCAAGTCTTACCCTTCCTCATATCCCAGTCAGTGTGTATGGCCCTTGCTTTAAGTGGGATGCACACCCTGCCACAGTGCCTCGAGCTAAGGCTGCAAGAAGCCCCTCTCTGCCCTGTCCTCTGGGGGATGCAGCTATCTTCCTATAAGTCTGCTCTCTCTACCCCACAAACAGGCACAGAAGGCTTAGGGTCTTGCATTCTGGAGGGCACCAAAGGCAGTCTCAGATTTTTAGTTTGAAAAATATGGTCACCAATCCCATAGACGAGTTGCTTGGAGACTTCCACTCCCCTTCCAAGTCCCCATCTGAGGAATGCCTACTTCAGTCCATAGCTGCGTGTAAACATCACGCCAGTTATCAAATGTTTGCTGTGCAGGACAATCGCCCAGGAAGTTAATACACACCCAGGTGCCCAGCCTCTGGAGATTCTGATTCAGTAGGTCTTAGAGGGGGTCTAGAAATCTACAGTCCTTTAAAAAAATATGTTAACCAAGGTAATATTTACACATAGATAAAAGATAAAATCATTTTGAAATGGTTATAAGAAAAATCAACAGATCCCTGCTGCCTTCTGGCTTTTTGATAACCTAGTCCCGCCCATCAGGGAAACCACTTTCAGCTAAGTTGTTTCTTCTGGGATTTGTTTCCATGTTTCAAAAAACATGTGCTGTCTTCATGTTAAAGCTCCTTTATTGACTTGCTGTCATAATAGATGAGGCTAAATCTCTCGTACCCTCACATCCCACATCTATTCTGCCCTCTTCCTGATATACTATATTGCTGTTTTAGATAAATCAACAAACCAATCATTTATTTGGAGTATATAAATATTGTTCATCATGGAATCAAAGAGGTGCTATCATTACATTAAATTTCTTGTGTAGCTTTTTGTTTTTCCTGGAATTCCCAATTGCCTTTTCTTTTCTCATCCTCATAGCATCGCTTTTTATTCCCCTTGGCTCTCCTTTTCATCTGGTGTTATCTATATTTCTAATAAGCTCCCCTGGTGATTAAGACACACACCAAAGTCAGAGAAACATGACCCAGGGGACAGCAAAGCCCTCCGGAAAAAGGGCACTCGGAGCAGCACGGGAATGAATTTGCTAAAAGCCATTTCCTTATTAAGCACAGGAAGAATGTGCTAGGAGAATGGAGGGAGAGAAAGGCAAGTGAGCCACAGTGGTGAGAACTGAGATGAAACTAAAACAAGGAAAAATAGGACAATAGTTTTCACAAAGACTGACCTATGACATGGGAATAGAAGGGACGAGAAAGTTCCTTACAGCCCTGGGCATGGCGAAGTCTTCATAAAGGAAGTGGCCACCGCACCCAGACCTCCAAGCAGCACTGTGATTTTAATAGATGGAGATTAGGGTTGAGACTATTCCAGGCAGACAGGACAGAGTGAGCAAAGGTCTGAGGCAGGACACTTCTGGTATCTGCATTAGAACACAAAGCAGGGTGGCAGGGGAGGTCTCCTCACGGGAGAATTTAACTCACGTGGCTCTACGGTGTCACCTGAGGCAGCTTCTCCTCCTCTGCAACATAAGGTCACGGTCACTCCAGGACAAGGAACTGAGCAAGACCTATGTTCGCTGGAAAAAAAAAAAAAAAAAAAACCTAACTGGAGAGAATTAGAAGCATCACTAATTGTAATGCTAGGGCAAGTTGGGCCGCAGTAGAACGTGAACCTGAGAGCAGGAATTAGAAGATTAGACATTAGGAGCTGCTTCCCCAGTGACCAGCAAACTGGGAGAAAGGACTCTGCAAGGGCTGGGCTCCAGGGAAGGCTGGGCTTTGCAGGGACTGGAAGCCTCATCTCTTAAATGATGTTGAAGCATTGGGCTTCAGGCAGGAGTAGAAGCAGGTGCAAACCATCTACCGGCATACAGCACATGCCTGACACATCCACACAAACACTATGCAGAGAGATGATATAAATTGTCTCTGAGCTTTCTGCTAAAAAGTTATTACCAGGTTGGGGGAGGGGAGCCTT